CATTTACGGGCTTCTGTTGCGCAGTAGCTCTTGAGAGTTCATCTTAGACTGTTCCCCTTGCTTATTTAATATATATATAAATAAATACATATAAATAATGTATAAATTATATCTTGAAAATTATAATTATTTGTAATAAATAAACTTTTTCTCTTTTCATTTTCAATATTTAAGATTTATATGCCTAAAAAGTAACACTTGTTCACTAAAATAAAGAGAAATAATAAAAAACTCGTCATATAAACGGCATCGGACGTCGGAGTCCACTCCTACGATTGCTGGCCATTAATAATGACATAATAAACAGATAGAGACTTTGAATAGTGAATTTAGTTCATCTTTGGTGTAAAAAATAGAGGTATACATCGAAACTGGTGTTTTTTCCTCAATACTATATGACGGTCAACCATTGTGTTGTTTTTGTTGCCACAAACTCGTAATTATTTTATCATCTATAACTTCGGTTATCAGGTTGCATTGCAACCTCTTGGCCCCAACCATTGAGAACTTAATAATAAGGCTTAGCTGACCTGAAGGTTCGACCACTGGGCACAGTAACAGTAAACCCAACTCCACCAAATTAGCCTTAACACAGTCCTCCCACCTTCTCTTCAGTCTACCCCTCAGAAGTTTCCCAGTCAGCACAGAGCGGGAAGTCATGATGGCTGAGTATGTTAAGAGTGTTGGTAGGGGTTCACTCTGGTTAGAATAGATTTGGTTGTAGCTCTAGAAATTATGTTATAGCCTGATTGTTCTAATTTATTTTATTTTTAAGTCATTAATCTTTAGTTGCTTTCAGATATTACAATATATAGGAAACAAAAAATTTCTTTTACTTTCATTTTGAATTTTTTAAAATATTGAATTAAACCATTTCAACTGTTGTTTAATAAGAATGAAAAGAGAACTTACTCATTTTTCCATTCTTTGACATAATTGATAAAAACAATTCGATTAACTGATCTGTTTTATAGGTTGGTTCAAAGCAGCTGGTTCACATACATCCTACTTCTGTTTTATCTGGTTCTCTGCCACAAGTGGTACTTTTCACAGAATTGGTACAAACAAGTAAATGTTACATGCGTTACATAACGCCAATAGATTCACTTTGGGCGGATGAAATCAAACCTAAAGGTCTAACGATCTCAGGTTTTTCACAAGTTGACTAAATGACCATCAGCCATTACGATAAAAATTGTTTTTTAATCACAATGATGTATATACTGATTTTATTCAAGATATTTTTAATTGTTTTCTTTTGTATCATTTTATGAAAATAAAATTAATATTTATTTATCTTACAATATGATTGAAATAATATTGACTAGTTTTTAGTCAAAGGATTTATGTTAAAATTCAGGACAATTTTCTGTTATATTAATATTTCAAAATTTTAGCATTACCAAATTTTGTATAATAACAATACTTTTTCTTAAAAATCTTGATTACACATCTAAGCCTTGGAAAGCTAAATGATCAATGTGTGTAAATATGTACAGTTCTTTTTAATATTCTTTTTGTATAAACTATGATTGTAATATGTTTATTTTGTATTAAGTTCAATAAATATAATTTTATTGTTTATTATTTTCTGTTTATTTCAATAACTCAAAGTTAAACTAAAATTTTATAAAGAATGTAAATATGTTTAATAATTAAAGACTTTGCCAAACAGGAAGTTTGCGCATATTGTTCACCTTTTGCTTAACTGAACCTTGAGATAATAAATAAACTTAAATTTAAGTTTAAATACAAATCCATGTAAGTTTATAAAAGCAATTATTTTTTCCAATTTAGTCTGATTTAGCAGTCCATCATAAGAAAGGTAATTTGTACTGGAAAAGATATAGTTCTGGACAGAAAATCTAATTGATGCTTTGATATAGATAACAAAGATTTTATTAAAATTATCTCATTATTATTATTATTATTCAATAATAAATCCTTGCAATCAACCAAAGACAAAAAAAAAAAATGTTAACCATCTCAAAATTTGAGACTTATGTTCTAAGATACATAGAATTCAAAAATCGAATAAAAAAAAATGAACAATTGAAAAAAGGTATTGATTAGAATGAATTATGTACATTTCCATGAATTTAGAATTCACAGAAACGATTACACGGTATCTAGATATGAATGAATAATTCAAGTCCATTTTTTTAAGGGTATTTTGACTTTAATATAATACTTCATACATTATTGTAATTTTTTTTTTAAAGACCTCTCAGCCAAATCGCTGCTGTTTGAGGAAGCTTTTAACCAAACTGAATTAATAAATTAACTTCTCTAAAGAAAATTTTATTGTTAACTTTCCTAGCAGAAGCCTCATAATTGATAGTGACATGGGTCAGTCTAAATAAAATTACACTAATGCAACCCCTGGGGAATTCTTAAAGAAGGCCTATTAACTTGTTATTGCTAGCCATTGACGAGTAGAGTGAAGTTTAGACATTTTTAAGAAATACACGCCTCCTGTAAGAAGGAAGTCAAAAGACGCTCCTCCCGAAAAAATGAGGACAAATCAGAAACAATATCAGTCCACCTCTTTAATAGGAAGGATTGACGGATGTGTGAATAAGTTCTACCAGAGATAGAAAAATGAGGCTCTTTCAGACTTCTGCTGCTATTAGGACTTAGTACTTTGGCTTTTAACGGAGACGCCTGACCAAAAGAAAGAGGTTGATGGAGGCAACCCTTACTTGGACTCTCATAAACAACCCCAGCTCACCACACCATAACCTCATCAGCTAAGTCATTTCATAGACATTTTTTTTTTCAAAATTAATAGCTAATTAATATTAAAATATTTTGTGACAATACTGTCAAATCATTCCAGCAGAATAATATATTTAATTAGTGTATTTTTGTAAACTTAATTTGTATAGTAATATTTTACGAGACAAATTTATCATTCATATAAAAGATATAAAAAAAATTCCTAGTTATAAGGTTTATTATCATCGGTTTATTGCAAAAAGTCATTAAGTAACATTTTAATGAGTTTGAAGTTTCTGATTCATTAAAAAACGATTAAAATAGCAATTTGATCATTTTTTTTATTTGAAATTCTAATTCAACTAGTATTTAATTCTATTATATTATGATATTCTAATTAAACTAATAGAATAGTTATATGAATTCTATTTACAACAATTAATTAAAATATTTAACATACACATATCAATGAAAAAACTAAAACCACGAAGCACATAGTAGCTTTTTGCACACTGTCTTTGTTAAACAAAATACATATTTTTATAATCTTGCAAGTACATAGAATGTGAGTTAAACTTACCTCACTTAGTTCAATTAACCATCTGATCAATTAATCCAATGAAAGATGTAATTAAGTACCAGATAATGAATTTTGGTATTCTACTTTAGCCCTATTTATAGAATAAGAATTTCATTAAGTAACTTGATGACTTTTTGCTCTTTATAGTCAGATCATGGTGTGCTCAGTGAAACAATTTTTAACATATAAAAGGATTGGTATAATTTTTATGTACTTAATGAGTTATTGTATCGATAAATATGATCAAAATTAACAACTACTTACCTTCAGGTTCAAATTGACCAAAATTGTAGTGACAGTGACTTTTTGTAATAAATCGTCGATACGAGTTTGAGAGTAAAAATAAAATATTTAAAAACCAACAAAAATGCTACCACTTTTTCTCAAAATCTATGAATTATTTTATATTATCCACCCTACCAAGAGGGTCATGCAATATTGGTCCAAGGTTCCACCACCGCTGTTTATACCAAATCGATATATCTCACAAATAAAAAGCTCTGATGATATGTGTATTGAAATGTAAAAAATAAATTAATCAAATATATCTTCTTGGAAAAATAAAAGTGTGAGGGAATAGAATTATGAATGAGATTTAAAAAAACAAAACAATAAAAATTAATTGGAGAATATTGAAATTGAAGGTACAAATAAAAAAAAAGTAGTAACTTAATAATAGCAGAATTGGAAACTTATGGACCAGCAGTTTCCAATTCTTGTTATGGAACAAGCGAGGGAATTAGATTTTGAAGATTCAAATTTAAAATTACTCATGAAAACAAATTGATTCCTATGAAAAAAATAATTGAACTGATGAAAGTATCTAGTTCACAACGGTGTCAGCCAGCAAACAAGGAATTTAATACTGAAGCCTCCATAGAACATGATTTTGTTTAAATTTGGCAAAATGGTCCATATACAATTTTAATATAGACAAAACTAAAAGCTGAAAAACTCTTTTATTGTTGATAAAAAGCATTATGTACACATCATTATATACATATTAATAATATATATTTACAGTATTATATATAACATATCTTATTTTATTCATTGTTATATATTATAAACACACTCTTAGTAACTTTTTAACTATAATTAGACAAATAAGATTGATGGTATTACCCAGGATTTTATAGTTATGTATCAGAAAATGTAAAATTATTTATTTTTCACTGGGAATTGAAAAAAACAAACTAAAAAAGGAGTTACCAAAAGTATGAAAACAATTAGCATAAATCTACACTGAGATTTATAGCAATAGAGTCCCACTAATCCAGATTAAATGGGAAAAGATCATGAAAAGTCCGAATTAAACAGAATATGCTGTAAAATGTCTATGACAAATATTTCAGCAATTCGTTCTTTCTTTCTCATAAATATAGATAGAATCTATTAATTTTGGTAATTGAAATTCCATAGTAATTCTTCAATTTTTGCTAAGCAACATTTTTAATAACATACAATAATAAACTAAAGTAAAATTTTAATTACTGGAACATAAGGAAATATAGATAAAAAGTTCCAAATTATAAAGCAATGGTTTATTATTTTCAAATATATTAACCTATTTTTGTTCTTGATACAATGATTTTTTCAACACTTCAGATTTCTCCTTTTCATCTGAAGTGGAGTATAAACATTCACAAATGGCTGAGGGAGTATAAATGATCTAATCTATTGTAATTTCGGAGGGGAGAGGGGGGAATTGCTAATATAAGCCCTTACACATTGCCTTAGTGAAAGATCTAAGCTGTAGAAAACTATCAATTTTCAAAATTAACTATCCAATGGATGAAATTTAAAGAAGAAAACTTGTCTGTTGTTCCTTCAGCAGAAAATTTTAGATTTGCTGAAAAACAACTGTTAAGGTATAACATAGACAAAATAGATACCTGATAACAGGGCTTAAGTTGAGCCTTCTTTTCCCTTGCCTAATTATTAGTTTAAATTTTTTTAAATGCTGTGCAGATTAGTGGGACTCTACTGAAAGTATAAACGCCCAGAACAGAGAAAAATTGAAACTTTATAGGTACAAAGTTTACCTAATTTCATTAAAACATAAATAAATAAAAAGTTGACAGATAATAATTAGCTTCTTTAGAATTTCAGAGAGAAATCCCACTTATGAATTTGATACAGAACAATTTTCATTTCATCTTTGCTTTGGTTGAATAAATTTACAAAGCCTTTTTGTTTTCTGCTGGTTTTCGCTGTGCTCAAAATCACCTCCATTTCGTTTTCGGGTCCTTATTTCTTCAAAATTTTCAATATCTATGACTATGCTAAGGAAATATTGCATTCAGCTACGATAAAATACCAACATAAAATCCTATTATTATTTCTTAATAATCTATAAAGTTAAAGAGTGTTTACTAGGGTAAACTAATTATATGAACCACCAGTATGATTTGATAAATTCTTTATAATGTTAGACTATGTTCTTTAGAATGTTAGCAGGCCAAGTGGAGCAGTCTAAGCTACTAATGGTGAAGATATGAATTTTCTCCAAATTAAACTACTAATGAAAATAAGAATAAAGCAGAGTTTAAGAATGACTTACTAAAATTTTAAGAAATAAATTTTGTCTAAAAAAGTATTTTTAATAATTAACTCATCAGACAATAAATTTTCACAAAATTTAGTGAGAATTTTTAATTCCTTCAACCATACAGAATCCCCAAATTTTCCGACTGATATAGACCTTACAAGTAAAATTGTATTTTTTTTTTTTTTTTTTTTTACAAAAATGAGAATTGTGATTTTTTGATAAGCAGGTAATTGTTATTAATATTTTGAAAGCTTATTGCAGATTTAATGAAAAACGTCTGCCAAGTAAGTTCAATATAAGTTCCTCACCGTTTATTTTCATTGGCTAAAAAATATCTATATTACAAAGTTTAAAATTATTCTTATGAGAATAAAATCTCTGGGAGAAGTCGTTTTCGGAAATTCAGTAATCCCTCAACATATACAGGTTTGATATCCACGAGTTTTATTCATCAGCGAATACTAAAATGCGAAAGAATTCCGTATTGCAGATTGCATATTTGATGATTCGTGATTAATAAAAAAAATCCCAGTGCATACTAAACATTAATATAACAACTGTTAGTGCAAAAGGAGGTATGTGAAAATTGAGTGTTTCATAGGAGAACATAGAAACTAATTGTTTCTTTATGATTTATTAGTATAATTTCATATTTTATTGCCTTCTGCTATTTTCTATCGTAGCAGACTACAGAATGTCACCTTTAGCACAAATAGAATAATAGTTAAAAATTTTTACATACGACCTATTGCACTAACAATAGTAATATATACGTAATAGGTATGTTTTCAATGGATACTGAGATATACAATGAATGAATTTATAAGAGTATAACAAAAAAAAAATTTGAAACATACAAATTCATATATGTTTTCTTCAAATTTTTAATAATGATAATGGTCGAAATTCGACCAATCGGTGAACACTAGATATAATGAATAAATATAAAATTGATGGTTAAATGAAAAGGATACTCAAATCAACCCTTGGAGGAACTAACAATCCAAAATTTTTTGCCAGCTTTGTTAAATCAAGAGCTTTGATATCAAAAACTCGTTTAAATAGGTGAGAATCATAAGACTTGACACAGGACTTGAAGGCATCGTTAGCAGCAAGATTAAGCGCATAATTAGTGCGTATCAACTTCTCAATCTGAAAATATAAATACAGACTTACAACAGGTTAACTTATACATGTTATGTATAACATAAAAACATATCTTACTAATACTTAATTTATAGAGCTATTGCGAGTATATTTAAAATATATATAGAAGAGAAGTTGGTAGGGGTGTTCAATAAAAAATAATGGCATTTCCTGGTGGTCACCCAAATCGTGCGTTCATCCATCTAAGTTACTAACCACGCTCGACATTCCTTAACTTTGATTACCTGTTGCAAACCTTAGTCCGCACATCTGCCCCGATATATATATATTTTTTTTTCACGAGTCCGAGGTCACAATCATAGCAACAATTAACATATAAGCAAATATAATTAACACGTTCATACCAAATGCAATAAATGAAAATTTATTTAAGTTATATTTATACTCTTCAATTATTATGAATATGTTATTGAATTAAAACTACATTGATGTTTTTAAATTAATTCTTAATACACTATTAATTATAATTGATATTAAAAATAAATGTTTTTAATTACGATATGATAAATTTTCATTATTTTAATTTTCAATTATTAGTTAATTCAATTAACTTAAAGATCCAACTTTTTGATGTTACGCAATACCCAATGAGGCAGTCTTTTATCAGCCACAGATGCGAAATGTGTTAAATTGAAATGTCTGCTGCTATATTACATGGTGTTTATTGACACCTCCTGACCAACTTCTCCTTAAATTAGAATTATGAAGGTCAACTACTTCCACACCATTAGATCTATTTACATTTAATAATTCCAAAGAAACTTTCATTAAAAAAAAAAGAAAAGTTTTAAAACACAACAAATCACTATTTTGGTGTATTTTATTAGTTCATCAACTATCTTGGGAAGTGCTAAAACAAAGACAATAATTATCACCTACTAATATTTGTAGCAGTTTATTTCACATTTTCTGCAATAAAATAAAAAATAAAAGTGATTTACAATTTTTTTTTTAAACCTTTTTTTAAAAGAGTATTTCTCTGGCACTATTGAACATAAACAGCACTAGGATATGTGGAGGGTGTACAGTTTGATGTTGGCTGGAAAGAAATCATTTCCAAATGATGCAGTTTTTACGAACTTAGGATCCCCCATTCAAAATGGTTTTTGACTAAAACTTTTCTTCAAATAAGTAAACAAAAATTTGACTCAGCTTTTGGACTAATAGGGAAACAGAAAAAAATAAAATAATGAAATAAAGATAAAAAAGAGAAGACAAATAAAAATGTTACCTGAAACTGAATATCGGCAACTTTATTCCAGCTAAAATTCATTTCACTAACAGGGATTTTGAAAGATTTAAAATACATGAGAAATTTTTTTTCTTCAGGCCTTAGCAGTATTAAGCCTTGAAAACTTTCTCCTTCACCACAAGGTATTCTTGTCAGCTGATGGATATATTCCTGCAAAATTGATAAAAATATTAAACATATATATCAGTATTGAAGATACACAAATACTTTTTTATGTTTTGCTGTACTATTCAACACTTAAGTACTGAATAATTGGTCGAAATCAGAGATGCCTAATCTCTTTACAACGCATGCTAAAAACAAGGATTTCTCATATTGAGGCGGACCACAATTGTAACTTCCCCTCCTCCCCTATATTATCCTATATAGTTTATGTTTTTTAAAATATACATCTCTTCATAATGAAAGCAGATAATTACAATTATCTATAGATAATACTAAAATGTATATTTGTAATAACTAAGTACAAAGTATTTACTAATCATTAATTTCCACTAGCTTAAAGTTATTTTAGCCTTTCACAAAATTGATAGCATAGCTAAATCCTTTTTTTTTTTTTTTTTTTTTTTTTATAAAAGAAATATTGACATTAAGTAAAAATATTCAAATTATGTATACGTTGACTAAATAGACTGTATTCTGAAACAAATTCTTAAGACTATATGATAGAAATAAAAAACATTTAGAATTAATAATATGAAGTATAAATATTTGTACATTACAAAAAGAATGAAATGCTGAACATTTCTGTCATTTATACATCTGATTTTTAGCTTCTGAAATATTTTAATCCAAATGCAAAACTTATTCGACTTGAGCCAAGTTTACTCGAATAGAAACGCTCAACTACTCATTTTTACTGCTAATTAAAATAAAATCTAAATATTTATATAGGAAGGAGATGGTCCGGGGTGGCGGTCATAAATAGGTTAAATAGTGGCATAACTATTTTATTAAAAGACAACATTTCGACCATTTTGCAGGTCTTGTTCAGTGAGGTGTGAAAGTTTGAGTTCAAAGTGAAACTCCTAGCTGAACACAACTCCCTAAAGAAGACCTGCAAAGTCAGGTCGAAACATTGGCTTTTTATAAAATAGTTTTGCCACTATTTAGCCTATTTATGACCGTCACCCCGGACCATTTCCTTCCTTTATAATGCAACGGTCAACTATTAAATATTCAATAAATATTTATTCTTTGTTTTTGGCAATAAAGACTTCCAATTAAACAATAATTGATTTATTTGTTGTATTTCCAAGTTATATGTTTACACGTTAACGTTTCGGGATATTTACTCCCATCTTCAGAACTACAATCCCAATGTTTCTTTGTTGATTTATTGCTAAAAATTGAGTTAAATATAATGCATGTTACAATACTTGTCAGAATTGAGTTGTTACATTAAATTTGTAATTACCTTAAGCCTAATGCGCTCCATTGCCAGGTTCTAAATTCATATTATAATAAATTTAAGTATATAATATCCACAGCATCATCATGCCTTTAGACCAATTATTGGGTGTCTGCCATGGTGAATACATGAATCACAGCATAAAATTACAACATAAATTCAGCTTCAATAAACCACAGATCAGGAAGCGAAAGGAGTTGTGAAGATCAATGGAAGTGAGTTGAAGCCTTCCCTGAGACAGGGAGTCAGTCACGGTCCCCTCTTATTCATCATATTTATGGATGAAATTCATAAAATTTGTAAGCGACGTACTGCTTGGACGGCAAATGGAACATGGAGGAATGGTTCAAAGCTTATTGTATGCCGATGACATCATACTGATAGCAGATACAAAAGACAAACTGCACAAGCCCTTGTGGAATGACAGGAATAGCTCCTCCGCAAAGGAATGGCAACCAACACCTCTAAGAGCAAGATCTTAGTTCTTTCAAGAGAGGAACAAGAAGATGTCCAGCTGATCTGTAATGGTGAGGTACTTGAGGTTGTGCAGGAATTTACTTATTTGGGGACAGTCATAAGCAATACGGAGAAGATTGACCCAGAAGTAGCAAATAGGATTTACAAAGCCAACCAGGTTTATTATCCTATCTGTAACACCATAGTGGGACACAGAGACGTTAGTAATGAAACAAAAAGACATCAAGTCTGTATACTTACCAACCCTGACTTACGGAAATGGAAGTTGGGTTATGCTGGACAAGCAGGCCAGACGGGTAACATGTGCTGTGATGAAGTTTCTGCGGAGGGCCGTTGGTAAGACCAGAAGGGACCGTTTCAGGAATGAACGGAATGGAGGAGCTAGAAGTGGTAGAGCTGAAGACTATGCTTGAAAATCGACAACTGAAGTGGTTTGGCCATGTTTGTCAGATGGATGATGAAAGAAAACCTCGGAAAGTGATAGAAGCTCGACCCACTGTGAGGAGACCGCGAGGGCGTCCCAGAATTTCCTACCAGGAATACATGCAGTGGATTGAAGGGAAAACTCTCCAAGAGATGAGGCAGCCTGGTCAGGACTGAGGCTCATTGATGCTAGGAATGGCATCAGAGGTAGAAAAAGAATAAAAAAAAGGTTGTATTTAAAATCCCTTACTAACTCAAAAATATCTTATTTAGCATAATCAAGACCAAAAGTAAGTAAGAACTGACAATTGGCTCTCGAACATTGCTTTATTATTTATTAGATATTAATCAATTAAAATATTTCAGATCTATAAATTAAGCTAACATTTATTTATTAAAGGAAGAAAGCATTAAATGTATGTAATGTATAACTTAATCATAATGTCCGAAATGAAGATTCGGTTGTAGGGTAAAGTAAAAAAAAAAGAGAAGAAAAAGAGAATCCTTATGAATTTATAAAAAAGTAGTTGGAATAAAGATATTACAGCAAACCATGAGTACTCTTAGTAAATACTCATCATTCATAAATTATTAACCATCTTTATATTTAGTGGTACACACCTCTTTCATTTTTTGTCAAATTATTAACATCCGTCAGAAACTTCGTTTTTCTCATCGTAACCTACAACTTTTTTATTTATGAAAACTCCCAAAAATGTGGCCTTTTCAATCTGGAGATCGGTAAAATTTGTCTATTTTATGAGATACTAACAACTCATAAACACTCATTTACTTTCAACTTGAGTTGTAAGATAATCTGATCATAAAATTGAGAAAAAAGGTGGCCTACAAAAATATTGGACCATTTGACATGACCTCTACCCCTAACATGTCAAAATAACGAGGTTATATAGGCCTAACAGCCCAACATTTTTGTAGGTCACCGTATCTCTCAATTTTCTGATCAAAATATCTTAAGATTCAAGTAGAAAGCAAATAGGTTTTTCATGACTATTCAGTATCTCATAAAATTAATTAATTTAATTAATTAGAAAATGACCAATTTCTGAAAATGTTGATAGATAAAAACAGTTGTAGTTTACAATGAGATGAAGCCTTTCACCAACTTTTAGACGGATGTTAATAAATGGATGTACTGTTTACATTAAAAATAATAATAATAAGTTGAATGGAACCTTAGGATCATCTGGTGGATCATATTGAACAATCCAATCGACAGCTGGGATATCTAAATCTCTGGTTACTACATCCGTGCACAGCAAAATACCACTTTCAGCGTTGCAGAAATTAAAGAAAGTAGCAGTTCTCTTCTTATGTTCTTGTTTACCCTAAATGAAAATTTAAATTTAATTCTTAAATCGTATAATAGTAATAGATGATATATCTATATGATTTCTAATTCATAAATATTGGTCTAAATAATATGTAAATTATGTATTTTTTAAAATATTCTTTATTTATCATATTTTAGTTATTTTGATTATGTACTTTGAAGTAATAATCATAGTTGGTTAAATTTAATATTACAGGACAGCCTCAATAATAAAAAAAAAAAACAGTAATTTAAACAAGAAAGAAAAGTTTTTAAAGTTGACTGATAACAGAAGGAATGAAAATGGCTCTGTTCCTTATTACATATTATTAGAAGTGCTTTGTGTGGTAGCATCAAAATCGTATTGTAGTATCTATAAATGGAAAACATTAAAACTAGACGGTCATCCAGAAGTTGAGGAATCTTTTATATATATATATATATTTTTTTTTTTTCCTGCTGATATTATGAGGGTGTTCAATTTCCGGAATATATTATCTCAAAAGGCAAAGTTTTTCTTTAATCATTTTTGTAAGAAGGATAGCAAAGCAGATTTTAAAGCGAATAGAGGTTGGCTAGATAATTAAAAAATCAGCACTTTAATTTTAATTTCATTACGAAAATTATTTACTCATTTTATTTTTCATTATAGATAAGTCACAGAAATACTGAATACCGAAGCCTGATACTTATAAGGAATTTGTGAGATCAGGTGTTTTCTTAAACATAAGTGATCCGTTACCTTTTGCAGTTCTTTTATCATTTTAAATTTAACCTTCGATAATCCAGATATTTTGATAATCCGAACATGCCATGCAATATAAGTGTTCAGATTATCAAGACCATCCATAGCATAGTTTTGGGTGTCAAAAGTTATGAAATAGCAAATATTATTCGAAAGATCTAGATGGCACTAAAAAAACCTATAACTGTCACTGTTTTGACCAATGAGATTCGAGAGGATAGCCTGACATTATTTAGAATCTTCCACAGATTATTTAAACCTCATGAGATAGGCATTCTACAGTTATAGATAGTCGAAGATATGATTGAAAAGTGAGTTAGTTTGGTTCTTATTGGTCCGTGAATAAGTTAGTGATTTCAGAGTTTGTGAACTCAACTCTTTATAAACAAGGCTGTTTGTTATCAGTGCTAAGATTATATTGTTTTACATAGTGTCAGTTAATTTTTATTTATAAAATACAAAGCCACCTAAGGATTATATTTTAAAACCATAATTTAAATTTCAATGATAGTCAGGTGATTCCAGTGTTTGTGAACTCAACTCTTTATAAACAAGGCTGTTTGTTATCAGTGCTAAGTTTATATTATTTTACATAGTGTCAGTAATATTTTTAATTATAAAATACAAAGCCACCTAAGGATTATATTTTAAAACCATAATTTAAATTTCAATGATAGCAATAATCAATAAATTGTTAAATATATATATATATATATATTTTTTTTTTTTGTCAGTCAAAACCAATATATCGTCCTTAAAAATTGATTTAGTTGAGCTACACTAAAATACAATTTATTTTTTACATGAATGAATAAAATATATACAGTTCAACGTCTATAAATCAATGATGAAAAATGCTTGAAAAAAAAATTTGATACACATAATAATTAAAATTTTTCAGTCTTGTTATACTAACAAATGTGTTTTATCAAAAGAGTTTCTTATGATATAAAATATATAGTACATAGTATATACACTGGATATCATTTATAACAAAAAATCTTGAAAGAAGCAAGTAACTTCCATCATTATAAAAGTAAATATATTGGATTGGACCAAAGTCGCTATAACTAATCTCAAGATATCTATAACAGCAGTTGTTTTTCTGTGGAATGTAAAAAAGTGCTGAGTTTACTCAAAATGGACTCAACTTCAACAGTAGAATGAGAAAACCTTATAAATACAAAAAAAAAAATCATAAGTTATTAATAATTAAAATCAGTTAAGCGGATTCCTGTAGTTCTTAGTTTAATTCATTTTGTAATTTATTCCTCTCCTTTTACTTCTTGGTTGATATATTATGTTAATATATTAATGATAATGATATTATGATGAGACATAGAAGAGTAGTAAATAAACAGAGTAATTCATATTTATAATCCTTTTAAATTTGAATGTAAAATTATAACAAGAATCATTGATCCATAGTCAACATAATTTTCCTTGATCTGAGGAGAATTAAATTATTCTAATATTTTAGGGTTTCCCATTCGCCATCTATGGAGGGACTCAAGCATTAATTCGTATTTATAATCCTCTTACATTTAATGTAAAATTGTGACAAGAACCATGAATCAACACATCCACAATTATTTCATTAGTATGAATAATGAATTGAAAACTAAATTATATTTTAAAAGATAGTGTATAAAATTTAATAAATGAAAAAACACATAAGCTTATCTTCTTTTTAAATTGCCTATAGATTTTCAATTATTCTGTAAAATCATATTGACATCGCCAATATGTTTATGTAAGTAATTTTTTTAGTTCAACTATTTCTTTTATTGTATGTCTTGCTATAAAAAAAACTAAAATGCATTCTGATTCATTCATTACTTGCAACACATAAGTTATATTCTGTGGTAAAAAAGTAACATTAGTGAATTTAAAATTGTCAAGAAATGCAATGTGTACACAGAGCTAGAATGAAATAATTTATTTCTTACAAAAGTGGTGTTTACAAAAAAGATTAAGAAATTCTCAGAGACAACTGCTGCTATATCGGATTATTATGGTTAAAAAAAAATTGTAAGAAATCAATTGGTTATGTCCAATCCATCGCTATATTGATGTTGATATATTCCTTGATAACTACATTAGAATACCCTCGTGAATCACAGGACTAGATATTTTCATCAATACATAATCATAAACGATATTGCAGGAAATTTGAATATTACTTTATTACAAAGTTTATCAAATTTTAAGAATTTAAATAATTCAGAATCTTTTTCAAAACTTTCTAACATTTCAATAACCAAATTCATCTTCATTTTTTATCTCACATTTTATATTTATAAATCTTATACATTTTAATGTAAAATTGTGACAATAATCATGGTTCAACAAATCCACTATTTTATTTGTATGAATAATAACTTGAAAACTAAATTATATTATAAAGGATAATGTATATAAATTAATGAATGAAACAAAAAATGTTATAATAAAGTAGGGATTGGATGAGCCTAATTAAATACTCATCGTAATGAATGCATTGGTCATCACCCATTTTTATGGATAAACTAATTTAAATATGACAGGAAGTTCGATACAAAGAGGTTCAACTGTTATTGTTTACTAGTAGAAAAATCATACTTACATGAATACTTATGACAGGGAGATCAAGATAATTTAGCAGCATATCATGAAACTTCACTGACAAGCAAGAACTAAAAAATACCATAATTTTCTTATTACGGTTCTTTTTAAGGAAGGTGAATAATAACAAGAACTTTTTTTCAGGAGGGCAAACAACATAACCTGTAACAAAAGAAATGTTTTCTTAGAATATATTTTTTTGGAATAATTATTTTCATCTTACAATATTTAAACTAATTAATTACCATGTTCCAATTTCTTAAGTGTAGCCATATTGTATGAATCATCGCCTCCAACATAAACAGGCTCTGTTTTTATTGCTAGGCGAATAAAATTTTTTAGTTGTCTATTTGATCTTGCAGAAAAAATTATATTCAATCGCTTTTCTGAAAAAATAGGAAAATCACAATACCACTAGATAAAATATGAAAAAGTGAAAGCAAATTAATAAATAAATAACAGGTAATAATCAAATTAATAAATTAAAATGAAGACAATAAATTAAATATTAAAGAAAGGAGATGGTCAGGGGTTGCGGTCATAAAAAGGCTAAATAGTGGTAAAACTATTTTATTGAAAGCCAACGTTTCGACACGACTTTGCAGGTCTTCATCAGGGCTAGAACGGACAAGATACAAAAAGATAGAGAATTGTGGCAATTACATAATATTTAGACATAATTTATAAACAATTTGAATAAGCTTATTAGAATTATAAACAGTAAGTACAATAAAATATGGACTAAGTAAGCTGAGTAACAAGAACCTAAACTAAAGTAAATTGATGCTAACAATTGTTGTAGTGTAATACATAATAAATGAAAATGTGAGTATAATTCTACAAAATCTACAGGAGAAAAATAAAATTAGAGACTTACAGGTGTGTTCCTCTAGGAGTTTCACTTAGAACTGGAAAGGCAGCGGTAAGGATTGCAGGTATAGGGGAAGTTAACATGTGTTAACTAAGTAAACATTGAAAAACCCAGGAAATTACAGTATCTAGGAATTTTTGAAGATATGGATGGATACAATGGAAAAATACTATATCTATGAAATATTAAATTATAAATATATAAATTATACATATAAAATAGAGTTGAGAGATGTGAGAGGTATTTCATGATTCTAGATCAGAGTACAATGTGAATAAATCCAAAATTGGCAAAAAGTAAAATATAAATATAGAAACAACTTCATTAACATACATACATTCCAGAGCTAACTTAAAAGTATAGAGAGGGAAAAAAAAAATTAATACTTAATATTTGGTTGTACATATGTAAGAAAATTGCATTTGAATATAATGAACAATTAAATGAATTAATTAATAAAAATTGAGAGTAGATGAAAATAATAGAATAGAATATTTAAGTTATTTTTCTCTTATAAGACTTAAAATGTGTCTATATGTAAGAGAAATACAGTTTTTGTCTACTTTGTGATTAATGGGATTGTGTTCCATGTGAATGTGGATAGATTCGGAAATGAGTCTTTTTCCATGGTTAGGGACCGTGGAAAGGATAGAGGTTTTTTCAAAATCAAATGAGTGGTTGAGTGTTAGAGCATATTCTGATAGTTTGGAGGCGGAAGGATTCCGGGAAGTTATGGACGTTTTATGTTGGGAAATGCGGGTTTTGAGATAGTTTTTGGTTTCACCAATATAGGAGCAGGAATAGAGCAGCAATTAGGAATAGAGCAGGGTATCCGATAAACTACATTGGATCGGTGTTGTGTTTCTAAATTAAATATTATTAAGAAATAGCAGGAGAAGTTATTATATAAAGGGTGTCTTTTCAAGAGATGACATAAGTCATTAATTTACAGTTGAGTCATTAATTTCTAAAGTGAACCCTAATAAGTAAACAAAAAAAAGTTCACACAGTAACAAAACGAACACTACCTTAATAATGAGGGATAGCAAAGTGGCTGTTAAAGTATTTTCATAATGTTAAATCACCTAGATAGATGATTTTTACTAACTAGAAAAAAAATTAAAGAAAAACTGTTAACAAAATATGTTTTCACAAAAAAAAAAAGATGCAAGAGATGATCACCTGTAAATAGATTAGAAAATTAGGTCAGCTTTTTTTTTTTTTTTTTTTTTGCACTTATCCGCACCTGTCAGTTATTATTGACAATCAGCAGATGTGCTGGCTTAGTAATGAGAGAAAAATAAAATAAAATAAAAAATAAATAAATAAAAAAGGCTTGATAGGCATGAGGAATAGCAATACCCAGCGGTATCCCTTCCATGGCTTTTATTTACTAACATTATTTAAGCAGATCCCTCATCCAGACCCTTTTCAGTCGTCTTCTGGAGTTCTCGGGCATACTAGTTGTGGCCATTTCTTTTACCAGCTGGTTGGAGTGCCCGTTTAACATGTTATGAAATCGTTTGTAGTACGTTCGTATGTGTTCATTGACTGTCGGAACGTGTAGGTCGGTGTGTAAAGTGTGATTGTTTACGTTCCATGGTGCTTGAGTGATTAGTCGTAGTATCTTAGACTGAAAAGTTTGAAGTTTATTTATGTGAGTTGGTTTTGCAATTCCGTATATTTGTAGTCCGTAAGTCCAAAGAGGTTTTAAAAGATACGTGTAAATACTTAGTTTCTGTCTTGCTTTTAATTTGGAAGGTCGTCTTAACAGTGTAAGTAACAATTTTAGTCTTAGATTTAATGTGATTCGTTTTTTCTTCACATGTGGACCCCATGTCATTCTCCTATCGAACGTAAGGCCTAGGTATTGTACTCTGTCTGTTTGTGGAATCGGTATGTTGTCTAAGTATACAGGAGGGCATGTTTCTGGTCTTAGAGTAAATGTGATGTGCTGTGACTTTTGATAATTTATTTTAGTTTTCCAAAGTTTACACCAATCGAGTATAATTTGTAAGTGATGTTGTAAGTTAAGTGATGCCTCTGTAGGATTGTCGTGCCTGGTAATGATAGCAGTGTCATCTGCGTAGGTTGCTGTAAGAGTGTGGATACTTTGAGGAATGTCGTGTGTGTATGTGATGTACAGTAGTGGGGCTAGGATTGATCCCTGATTTACACCAGCTAAAACTGATCGAATTAAGGATAGACCTTGGCCGTGTCGAACGGAGAAAAATCTATCTGAGAGAAAGGAATGGAGAATTAAGTAGTAAGTATGTGGAAGTATGGTCTTAAGCTTGAAGAGAAGCCCCTGATGCCATACTTTGTCGAACGCTTGGGCGACATCCAGAAATACTCCGGTTGCATATAATTTCCGCTCTAGTGCTGTAGAGATGTAGTCAGTCACCCTGTGCAATTGTTGTGTTGTTGAATGTAATTTTCGAAACCCGAATTGATGGTCAGGAATAATCTGTCTGTCTGTTAGTATATGTAATAGTCGTGGGTACAATAGTTTTTCGAATAACTTAGAACATACTGGAAGTAAACTAATCGGTCGATATGAAGAAGGGTTGTTAGTGTCTTTGTTTGGCTTTTTAATCATGGTTATGTGTGAGTATTTCCATTGTATAGGAAATTTAGTGGTCCTAAGAATGCAATTGAAGATTGTGGTAAGAAACACTAGAGCTTTCCTTGGCATTTGCTGGAGCGCCTCAGCAGTTATCAAGTCATGACCAGGGGTTTTTCTTTTGGGCAATTGTCTAATTTCTTGTGCAACTTGTGATGGTGTGAAAGGAGGTGGTGGTAGTGTGAGCTGTAGCGGTATGTCTAAGTTATTATGTACAAAAATATCGTGTTCTGTATTAATTAAGTCTGTATGTGGTTTAAAAACAGCGGAAAGATGGTTAGCAAAGAGTTCAGATCTTTCCTCGTCCGAAACAGCCCAAGAGCCATCCTCTCTTCGTAGGGGTGCTGACACCTCACGATGCTTTAAAAGATTCCTTGTATGTCTCCATAAACTTCCATCGTCCGTCGAAAGGTTGTTAATAAAATTGTCGTAGTTTGTGCTTTTGAATTTTTGAATATGTCTTTTAAGTTCGTTGTTCAATCTGTTAAAAGTTTGTCGGTCTGAAGGAAGTCTGTTAGTCTGCCATACTTTACGTGCTCTTCTCTTTGCTCTAATCAAGTCCCTTATGTACATTGGATAATGGGGCAAGTTCGCTGCTTTTTGTGGCCTGGATGTTGATGAGGCCCATGCTGCATCTTGTATGCTTTTTGTGAATTTTTCAACAGCTTCTTCTAATTCCTCATGATTTTTAATTGAACCTGGAACGGAAAGATTGGTGTTCAAATAGTCTCTATAAGCGTCCCAGTCCATGCAGCCTTTTATGAGCCTAGGTCTTTTTTGTGTTTCGGAAGGCTCATCGAAGAGAACCATGTGCACTGAGGAGTGATCAGAACAAAGATCGGAGGTTGCATTGACGGAAAATGGTACGGTTCTTAGTCCTTTTGTAATAAAGAAATCAAGTAAGTCGGGAGTTTTGCGTCTGGAGGTGGGCCAATAAGTTGGTGAATTTGGTGTTACAGTGTCTAATGAAAGTTCATGGAGGACAGACCAGAGATTTCTGCCTCTTGGAGTACTCAGCCTTGAGCCCCAGCCTTGATGCTTAGCATTATAGTCTCCACCTGCGATGAAGCATCTTCCGAGGCGTTTGAAGAACTCAGAAAACATCGTGGGTGTAAGCTTGTACCTAGGGGGACAGTAAACTGAGGCAAATGTTATAGTGTAGTGTTTAGTGTATAGTGTTATTCCTGTCGATTGTATGTCGGGTGTAATGGGTAAGTCTAGGGGATTGTGTTTCAGTGAATTTTTGACGAGTATAGCTGTTCCCCCATGTGCAGTTTTATCTGGGTGATCAGTTCTGTAAATTGTGTAATCCTGGATGTAAATTTTTGATCGGGATGTCAGGTGTGTTTCTGTAATGAGTGCTACGTCGATTCGTTTTTCGTGCAAGTATAAGTCGAGTTCAGTACTGTGCTGTTTCAGTCCGTTGGCATTCCATAGAAGAACTGACAAGGAGCCTACAGTTAAATTATTGTGGGCCATAATTTGGGCACCAGACCTGTGTAACCTGTGACAGTTGTTGAAGAAGAATGAAAAGGGGCTGGATTAGGTTATTTAATCCATTAATTATATTAAATAATTGAGAAGAGCCATTATCTACCGGAGGTATCGGTTGGGTAATGCCTCTCCTCGTACCTATATATGTTTTCTGGTTCGGGGGTGCTGAACTAGATGATGTTTGGTTTTGTTGTTGCGGAGGTCCTGCGATGATCTGTGGTTCCCCTTGGTTGTGACGTTGCCGTATTGGAGGGAATTCATGCATGCCTGGAGGTCCCTGCGCTGGCTCTGCTACTGTGGAACGCTGAAGACGATTTCTTGCATTGAGCTGAAACCTGAGATCTTTCAGCGTCTGGCAGCCTCTGTAATTAGCGGGGTGCTGACCGGCACAGTTGGCGCATTTCGCGGGGGTGTCTCTCGTTTTCAAACATGAGCTGGTTTCATGATATTCACCGCACTTTACGCATCGTGGTCGATGGTTGCAATAAGTTTTAGTGTGCCCATATTGCTGGCACCGAACACACTGAGGAATATTTCTCTTTTGACGCGGTTCCTCAATTTTAATATGTGAATAATAAAGAAATTCAATACTAAAAATTTCTTCTCTAAATGTCTCTTTTGTAATGTCCACAAAGAACATAGGAAGGGGTTTTTTGAATCTAGATATGACGTTAACTACATTGGTGGCTTCGTAACCCAATTTTTTAAATTCCTCTTTAATGATATCGATTGGTGTTCCATGGTGAAGATGTTTAACAACAATCCTTGGGCATTTGTCCTGTGGAAGTTGGTAGGTATGGAAGTCGGCGCCTTTATTTCGCAGGCTAGAATTTAATTTTCGATAAACGTCAGGATTTTCTGGGTACACAGTGACACCTTTCAATGTAGACTTAGTTTTAAACATATTAGGACCCGTTTCGTTTTCTAGAAATGAGATTAATGCATGGTAATTTTCAACACCGTTTATAAAAATTGGTGGAGTTTTATTGTTTTGAGGCGGTCTTCTAACTTCTTCTGTTTGTAAATTAGTGATGTTGGTTAGAACCTGAAAACTGTTCGAGGTTGGGATGGATTCTGTCGGTCTTTTTTGAGCTCTTGGCTCGCTCGAATCTATCATAGGTCTTTTACGACCAATAACCAATTCCCAGGAGCCGTCTTCATTGTTTATATCACTGTTTTTAAAGTTCATGTTGCTTACCTCAGTTTGAAATGACTCCACCATTGTTGGCGGTGAAATCCGCTCAATCTTTGTTTGGTGTTTTGTCCTTAGCAATCTTGTCTTGATAAAACACTTTTGTTACACAAAAATTAGGTATTTACACTTAATTAACACTTTTTTGGAAGACAATACTAAATTAACCTTTCACCTTATTTAACATCAACAGCTGTTCAGGTCAGCTTTTAAAAAAAAAATAATAATGATTTATTTGCCATGTTATTATGGTTAGAGGCAGATATTGGAATAAAACATATCTGACATCTCGACAAGGAATTACGGAACATTCTTGAAAAAATAAAATACTTTTTATACAAAAATATTGTTTGTGTTCTAACGACAGCAATCCCTAACCAACTACTATTATAAAAATCTGCAGTCAACATTTTCTCTACCAAGATAAAATAACGGTCCTTTGTATCCACAACACTGACAAAGTTGGCCATAATGTCATATATAAATATTAAACATTTCCTATTGTTTTATTTATTTACTACGGTCATGAAAACAATAAAATAATATAGACTTACCAGGTAATAGATTGATGATTTGCTTCAATTTGTTCCCAGAACCATTGTCTAGAATTCTGTCCACTTCATCAATTATGAGGCAGGATAGATTTTTATAAATAAAACCAGGAGTATTTTGCAAGTGATCAAAGAGCCTTCCATGTGTTGCGACTAATATATTAATGCCTAAATATAATATAAAAATGAATTTATGTAGTTTAATAAATTTATAATTTTTTTTTTTCAATAAAACTAAAAATAAAAGAATTTTTCATACATAAGAAAAATCTATCAGTAATCATCTAAAAGGTGTATAACTAATTAAAATTATCTCTGCTAAATAACATAAACCATCATCATGGACGAAGCACTTACACAAGCTAATAGATAATAGAACTCAATGGGAACTTATAAAACTCTATTTTTAAACTGAAAAAATATAGTGCGAAAAAGAAAATCACATTTTAACTAATCCCCACATATATTATTACAGTAAGGCTCGAAATCGGTTTTGTACCAAATATAAGCTCCTGTCATGCTCAAATACCACGAATGGGGTACAGTTGGATTCAGAATTTCACGGCAGGTTAGCGAATCGTATTCTCCACTTTTGTTTTTCTTTCTAAAATAAATAAAGTCGTTACAAACATTTTATTAGGCTTCAATACTGGAACGGTGGTATGTCTGTAGATCGATATGGGAGAAATTGGATCTTGATGCATACAGCAAGACCCGGATAGTTCCTCCGGAACTATCCGATCCTGCATTTTTAAGCCCAAAAATGTACTATTTTAGAGATAACGCAAGGCATAGGGTTCGCATCCAAACAGCCTTACATTAATTGTGGTACTGTCATTGAATAAATGTCTCATTTCGTCGACTTGAGGTCTCTGTGATCGAGAGAGGAGGAGTTTATATTATTTATCGATGGTGTTTTTGATCAGCAAGCCATATCATCGTTAATTTTTCACCAAATCTCAAGATTGAGCCACCAATTTCGAAGGTTTCCTTCTCCTTCAGGCCGGCAAAATAGTCCAATCACTCCGAAAATTCAGGAAAACAAGGTATGATAAAAAAAAACTTTATTTGCGAATAACTAAAAAATTACACACTTTTCCCTTGGTTGTGCCCATGATTATATAAAAGATTACTAAATTCCCTACAAAATGAAAAAAAAAAAATCATCGAAATCGGACTATTTTTAACAAAGATACAGCTTACTGAAATTTGTGAATATGTTGGTGCCAAACAAAAATGAAGATTTAATTTATGTTTTCTTAGTCGATTATATTTATCGATAAAGTAACATTTGATTTCTTTATCTTTTGATAACTTGCATTATTTTAATGTCTTATTAATTTGGCATTTGATAACAATTTTTCGCACGAGCCTACTAGTAATAGAAAATACTTGTAAGATGCACAGGTCTTTCTCACCTTAAAACAGTCTTCAGTCTTCAGTTTCAGCAATTCTGACATTAAGCAAATTGGTTTAATAGTGAGAATATTATGTCAAGGAAATAGAATCATAGAATAAATTTGTATATATTAAGCAACAAACTTTAAATTATTCATAAAACAAGATATTATTATTTTAAATAATTTATTAATAACTGTTATTATTTACAAATAATGTTATTTTAAATTACAATACATCCAAAATTTAAAAAAATATTGAATATTATTCACAAAACCATAACTTTCACCCTGATAATACTGATAACTGTCCATAGACCAATCATCTGTCTGATTTCTAGGAGGTTGGCTACTGACAGAAAGGTGTTTAACAAATAGAAACAAGTTGCTCAAACACCGTTTAAGGTTTGGATAAAGAAGAAGATTTTACTGGAGAAGTTTTCAGCAACTTTAATGGGTTTAGATAATGGAGATAGCGATGTTGAAATAAACGTTGTACTTAAATGGACAAAGATGCTTTTATGCAACAGTTAAAAGAATTTCTAAACAAAGTATTTGGTTTGTCATTTTCATTTTTCCTTGATAAATTTCTTTGATGTCACATATTCAACTTAGTAAAAACTTCCAATATTTCGATCCGTAGCCTAATGCTTCAAATATTAATTTTGTAGAACACAACAGCTAACCCATTTACATCAGCATATATCTTATTCAGCAATTTTATTTATCAAACTATATCGCTGAAAATAATTTTTTAATCATCAGATAAATATAATTTTCTTTTCCCAGAGTAGTTATTATGACTTTAAATCCTGTGATTTCACCACCTTTTAAGTGTTTTGTTATCAATTTATGGCAACTAATTTATGGAAAGATAGCAGTCCATAGAGACTAAAGATGAAATGGAGATGCTTTCGTAACACTTGTGAGAAAAATGTATCTATAAGGAAAGGGACGTGATTAGAGGGGTCGAAGATTACCTTTTCAACCACTTTAAAAATTAATTTATGGCAACTAATTTATGGAAAGATAGCAATCCATAGAGACCAGACCGTTCACAAGTACATCATATTGCTTTCAATATCAACCATTACTCATTAAAGATACTATATATTAAATTTCTGAGACAAATATATAAAACAACTTTAAAATTTCATACTAACCATTTTGCAGTTTTTTTGCCTCACTTTCTCGATCAGCACCATCCATTACGAGCCCGCAAGTATTTTGGTGATATTTCATTAATTCCTGAAGCACACCAAAGGTTTGAATTGCTGACTCTCTTGTAGGAGATATAATTATACAACCGGTCCCTTTAAAAAAACAAAAACATTTTCAACAATGAAAACATATATATATATATATATATATATAAGATAAAGACCGGAGACCGGCGATATCAGCCTTAATACCGTCCTGAATGTAAATAAACATATGAAATGTATATAAGGAGGATTACTAAAGGAATAAATCAGTATCTTTTCTGAAACCGTGAGTGTTGCATTTCAAGCCCTTTCCTTTCTTTTTTTTTATTGTTAGAGTCCGCCGACGCTTAACTGGTGCCGAAACCCGGGACTACGACAGGAGAACAGAGAAGTAATTTTTTTTTAAAAGTCATTTTTTTTTCTCTTGGTTTTTTTTCTTCTCCTAGTCATAAGGAAAGAGTGAAATGCCAACAGAGGGCTTGATCAGGCCGGGAGTGTTGAGCGCCCCGGAAATCCCTCAACCTCAAGAAATTCCGCAGATACCTCAGATCGCGCAGGCCCCTCAGGTGCCTCAGATACCTCAAATACCTCAGGTACCGCAGATTCCGCAGATCCAGGAGATCCCTCCCTTACCGAGGGACACATTGGCAGAAGCGCACGCTAACGCGCTGGAATGGATGAAAATAAGAGCGGCGACCACGCAGGACCTTCGAAGAGCCATTGCGGACCTGGAACGCTTCGGTGGCGAGGTAGGTGAGCTCAACCATTTCCTGAAAGGCGGAGACCGCCTCATGTCTAGAATAGAGGTAAAGGTGGCGGAGGACCTGGTAAACCTAGGGGACGCGGAAGCGTTGAAAGCGGCTCTGGTGTGCCGAGTAAGGAGGAGCATCCTGAACCAAATTCAGGCGGACGAGGAGACACCATGGCCGGTGATTAAGGAGCGACTGAAGAAGGCCTTCGGAGGAGGCAGATGGACGCCGGAGGAAGACATCTTCCAAATGTTTAGGGAGCGCCGGTCCCAACGTCAGACGAGGGGCCAGTATGCGGGGGTACTAGTGGCAAAGTACAACCGCATAACGGAGAAAATGCGCGAAACAATGAGTGTGGGAGAGGTGGAAGCCAGGATGGAGTTCCTCTCGACGATACTCAAGGTCCAGTTGGCAAAGGAAACGGGAAGGAGAGACGGATTGCCCAGGGAGAGATCATTCCTCGAGTGTGCCCAGGAAATGATCGACCTAAGCGCAAGGGAAGAAGAGACTCGGATGGACGTGGAAGAACCAGGGTGGATCCGGGTGAATGACAGACGACCCCGGACAGCCCCGATGGGTTGGAAGAGGAGAGAAACGGTACAGCCGAGCGGAGAAAAGGTCAGGATGGGTGAAAAAAGATCCGGACAAGTGAGGCCGAGGAATGGACCCCGCAGGGAAGACAGGAAATGTCATGGGTGCGGAAAGCCAGGACATTTAGTTGCACAATGTCCGCGCACTAGGTGTTTCGAGTGCGGTACCGAAGGGCATATTGCTAGGCAGTGCCCGTACATATTCCGGAGGAGAGAAAGAACTCAAGACGAGCCCATGGAAGTAAACACGCAGAAGCTGACAAGACGGGCTAGGATGCAGCGGAAGGACGGATCTTCGGGAGAGGCAACCGAGGAGTCGGGAACTTCGGGGACAGAGACGGACGAACCAGGTAGCAGTGGAGGCGAAGGAGGCAGGAGCAGCCAACGGACCGAGCAGCGACGAACGGCGGCGGGGAGGAGGAAGCTGGGCGGCATCTGAGGAGTGTGGCAGCAGAGAGGCGACCGCACAGCAACATGCAACAACATCCGAGGTAAGCCATGCTGGTTGCCAATTATCGAGGTAGACGGGGGAGTAAAGTGCCTCGTGGATACCGGGAGCTCGAGCACTATTATGACCAGAGGGGCGTTAGGGAAAGTGTGCGGGAGTGAGAGGGCACTCCGGATCCAAAAATGCGATTGCCAATAATCACTCTGGGTGGCCCCTGTAGCGTAGAGGGAGAAGCGACAATAAGACTTGATCGGTGGGCAGGAAAAGAGGGCGAACTGAAGGTACACGTAGTAAAAAACATGACTCGGGAATACCAGGTCATAGTGGGGTGCGATTTGTTGGGGCAGGTAGGGGCGAGCATTAGGAATCGTAGAGGAGCCTGGAGTGTTAGGTTGGGAAAGAGGAAGTTCGGATGTATAGGAGTCGCGAGAGAAAGAAGGGTGCGGATAGGGGCGGTGAACAGAGTGGAGGACTGGAGGGAGTTGCTACAGGAGGAGTTTAGGGACATTTTCTTCAGGGAAGGTGAGGTATTAGGGGTAACAGGGAGGACGGTGCATGAAATCCCACTGAAGCAGGATAGGGTAACTTACGTGAAAGAGAGAAGATACCCGCAGGCGTTGAGGCAGCATATTCGAGAGGAGCTAGATAGTCTAAAAGAACAAGGGATCATAGTTGATAGCACCTCACCATTCAATAGTCCCCTGTGGGCAGTGAAGAAGAAGGCAGCACCGGGGGATAATAAGGAAAAATACAGGGTGGTAGTAGACTATCGTAAATTGAACGATAACACGGTAGACGAGAAGTACCCGATCCCCAGATTCGAAGATATACTGGATAGGTTGAGTGGAGCCGTGGTCTTTAGCACGTTGGACCTTAAGGCGGGATATCACCAAATACGGATGCACCCGGAAGACCAACACAAAACAGCGTTCACATTCGAAAGGGGGCATTATGAATTCACAAGAATGCCGTTTGGTCTGAAGAATGCGCCCATAACATTTCAGCGTCTGATGGACGAATTTTTGAGGGGTATCGATGACTCGGTATGTCAGGTATATATGGATGACCTGCTGATTTTTAGCAGAACGGAAACCGAACACGTGGGACATCTGAGGTCAGTATTCGAGAGGCTCCGGAAATTCGGGCTGAAATTGTCAAGCGAGAAGTCTCTGCTGGGACAAACGCGGATTAATTTTTTAGGCCACACTATCTCTAGCGAGGGGGTCAGACCGGATGCGGCAAAGGTGGAGGCGATCACAAGGATGGCGGTACCACGGGACGTGAAGGGGATCCGTAGGCTTCTTGGGACGCTGAACTACTATCGGAGATTCGTACCTGAGATGGCAGAGTATTTGGTACCCATTAACAATTTGCTGAAGAAAGGCGCGAAGATTGTGGTGACACCAGAGATGGAGAATAATATCCGCAAATGTATGAATAGGTTGCTGACAGAGCCGGTGTTAGCGTTCCCGGATTTTGAGAAGCTCTTTAATATAACCACCGATGCGAGCGAATACGCGTTAGGGGCCGTTTTGTCCCAGGGGGGGAGTGAGGGTGAACGACCGATAGCATACGCGAGCCGTCGGCTTACGGGTGCGGAATCGCGATACAGCGCTTTGGAGAGGGAGCTACTCGCGATAGTGTGGGCTATCGACCATTTCAGGCCATACGTATTTGGGAGGAAGTTTCGAGTCCACACCGACCACAAACCCCTGCAGTGGGTAGGGAAACTTAAAGAAACCTCAGCTAGGGTCACGCGATGGAAGGAAGTCCTTAGTCAATACAATATAGAGGTGGTGTATAAGCCGGGAAAGGAGAACGTGGTGGCGGACTGGCTCTCGAGGGCCATCATGATCAACGCGGTAGAAGAGGACGGGGGAGGACCATCGCGAGACGTGCGCCAATTCTTGAGTGAATGGACTCCCGACGGCGAAGGAGCGGAGGATATCGTCGGTATAGATGACAGGGGAGAGTCCCCGGAAGAGGAGAGCTCAGCGGAGGAAAGAGCAGTGGAAATGGAGGAGATAGACGACATCATCAATGACAAGCATCGTCAGGTAATCTGGAAAACGAGAGTAGCAGGGATGATGAAAATAGATTATCGAAGATATGGGAAAAGCAAGATTCGCGTCATCTGGTCGCAACCCGGGGTGAGTGAAGAGCAAATTTGTACGGCACTGAAGGACGCCACGGAACCTGGAAAGACGCACCATCTTTATGTGGGGAATAACACGGTATGGGATAAAATAAAGCGGATGTGGAGATCCGAGCGAATTGGGGTGGACAGAACACTCATCCGTTGTAAGTACGCAGTGGAAACTATACAGGATGAGGAACAGCAACAGGCAGTCACATTAGCTTATCACCAGGGGAAAACCAACCACCGAGGCGTGAACGAGACACTGCAGGCATTACGTCGAAAGTATTTCTGGTGGGGCATGAAAAAATCCATCCAAGAGGTCATAGGGAAATGCGAGGTGTGTATGCGCACGAAATATGATCGACACCCCCCCAGAGGGATTCAGGAAGAGACACCGACGGGGAATATGCCACTACAGGACCTCCAGATTGATACATTTACCTGGAGAGGGTTCAAGTGGGTCACGGTCATCGACGTCTTTAGCAAGGTAGCTATGGCACACCAGGTCATGGACAAGTCTGCCAACGCAGTTGCGGAAGCCCTACAAACCTGGGTGCAGTTCTACGGGGTCCCCGAGAGGATCACATCGGACGGTGGTAGGGAGTTTGACAATGCCGCGATTAGGGAGGAGGTGAAACGACTAGGGATTCGTTGGCATTATAACACCCCGGGACATCCTAAGGGTAGAGGCGGCATTGAGCGGTTGCACAGCACGCTGAGTGATCACATCCGGGTGTATCAGGGGGAAAAAGGGTTGGAGCCGGATGTTGCAATGAAGAAAGCGGTAACAGCCTACAACCACTCGATTCACTCCGTCACGGGATTTTCGCCCGTGGAAGTACTATTCGGGATGCGCAGGCCAAGGCGAGATTGCGGGGAAACAACGGTTAATGAACCATTAGTCGAGCAAATCCAGAGCAATAGGGTGGAGATGGAAAAGACGTGGGGAAGAGTAACGGCGAAAATTAAGCGGGAAAAGGAGAAGCGGGTAGAGAGGCAGAATGTTCGCGTACGTGACCAAATGGGTGATCTAAAGATCGGGACAATAGTGTACCGTAGAGTAGGGACCAACAGAGGGAAACAATTGTTACGATACGAGGGTCCATTCAGAGTGATTGCTATTAGGGAGCATAATCTACTAACGATCGAAAGCGTTAATGAACCTAGAAAGAGGAGAACGGTTCACATTGAACAATTGAAGCTCCCAATGATAGAACCGGAACATAAACTAACGGATTCGTAGTACCCTCACCACGTTATAACAAATATGTTTTTTTTGGTTGTCTAAGCAAAAATATGGTGTATTTTTTTTTATGTGTAAATAGAATCATAGCAATACAGTAGAGGAAAGTGTATTATTTTTTTTTTCTTCTCTGTTTTTTTTAGGATTTTAAGAGTTCTGTTTTTGGAAGCAAGTGTTGTGTTTAGTTCTGTTTTTTTTATTTCTTTGTATTATTGTATGTCTCGAGTGAGTTTTACTTTCTTTCAACTTTATACTTGTAAAAACAATTGTAAGGTGTTAAGACTGATAATCGTTAGCTCCGATCTAGGAATATCTAAGTTTCCGAAAAATCCTGTTCGTAAACTGGTGGGGGGGAGATAAAGACCGGAGACCGGCGATATCAGCCTTAATACCGTCCTGAATGTAAATAAACATATGAAATGTATATAAGGAGGATTACTAAAGGAATAAATCAGTATCTTTTCTGAAACCGTGAGTGTTGCATTTCAAGCCCTTTCCTTTCTTTTTTTTTATTGTTAGAGTCCGCCGACGCTTAACTTATATATATATATATATATATATATATATATATAATATATATATATATATATATATATATATATATATATATATATATATATATGTATGTATATAATGTGTAAAAATTACATACAAGCGACCAGATCACAGTTACATAAAATATTACATTCATAATATTTTGTATAAACAACAGTTTCAAGAATTATAAGTTGATAAAAAAAATTGATACTAAAGTAAGAAAAATTATTCATTATGGAATCTGTATAGGCTTAATAAAGAAATGAAAAATGGAACAAAATATCAGATCATACCATAAGTAATGTCAATATTTAATTGCATGATACAAGGTGAAGGTTAAAATCAATGAAAACACATTCATATTAAAATGTATTTATCATCTTGTTTCATAACTGTTTGCCATGTGAAACCAAATTTTATATATCTTAACTGTAAGAATTCTTTGGTTTTGAATTGAAGGAAACCAAAATCTCGTTTTTCACTTCATCAACTTAATTGAAGTTAGAAATAATTTCCCATCTTAAGTCCTTCAATTTTTGCAATGTTTGTTTTGCAATAAAATGCCTTGTCTATTGATAAGTAAGAGGCATTTTTCCTCAATTGCTCAATTACTTATAAGTTTCCAATAAGTTGAAGCAGAATTTTCTCCTTTATCAAAATCTCTAAGCATAACATGATATAAGTGCTTTTTGAGGAGATCCATTTTAATTGAAATTTCAGGACAGAATAATTAACTTTCTCCAACAAAAACATGATAAAGAGAAGAGTATATCGAGAGCCACATTGCAAAAGTATGTAAGAACAAAAACTAAAACTTTCCAGGAGACAAAAAAAATTGCATAATTTTTGTTTTATGAGCATTATATTTTTAGTTCAATTTTTTTGCAGGCCTAAAACAAAGATGTAATGAACTCTATAAATTTTTTTTATCATATTTCTGCCAATAATCTTTTAGAGCCATTACTTCTAACTTATAGCGTTTTAGTTATCTTGAAAACCAGATATCAGGTAGATAAAAGCAATAAAATTAATTGTAGTAACGCCCATAACTTTCTTAATAATAATATAATCATGACAAGAACAAAGTCAGTTTCCAAAATGTAGAAATATGAAACCTGAAATGAAAATTTGTAAAACATTTGACTGAAAATCGAGTATTTGATCACACAGGGTTAATAGTGTGTGGTTAAAAAAAAAAACTAACTTTTTTGTCTCATATTGTAGGAACGGCTCGAATGGAGGGCATGTACCCCATTTTGGAGAAATATATGAAAGATTCGTTTTTAAAATACATAACTTCATTTGGACATGGTTTGATTAACGAAAGTGGTTGCTTGGCAAGTTCTAGATAACCTGTTGATATTTAGATCACTTCGTTTCTGATCTTGCGATTCATTCATTGAAGATTCATTGGTTTGAAAAGATGAAACTAGAGGTCTTTTTTCGTCTTGAGTTAAATTTTCCAATTAATGAAATCAATTCTCCGTCTCTCACTATCTGGAATTCGGCGGCATTGTAGCTTTTTCCAGTCAAGCTCATTTTGCAGTTGCCAGGAGGTTTTGATTGTTTTGAAAACTGTTAAATAGTATATTCCCACTTACCACTCTCTTATCTGCTTCATCTCATTCCATAATAAACAGTGGCGGGCTGGAAGTGCTCGCAATTTATTACAAATTAAAAAAAAAAAATTCAAAGCTTATGAGAAAAATTAATTTTAGCCTATTAATAAAAATAAATGATACTGTAGTCTATGCGCAAACTTCTTTATACATTCTATATTTATATGATCACCTTTCATTGAACATTTCATTACATTTTTTCGGTAACAACACAATCTCTATAACCTTCACTGTAACTTACAGTTTTTAATATAACAATTTGCTAGTTTTTAAATTACAGGTTTTTACAAAAGGACATAGAGAAGAAATGAAACATTTTAGATTTCATTTTGTGGGATCAGAATATACGCCAGGACAAGCTTGACCAGAAAAGCTCAAAACCTCATTTTCGAAACAAATTGTCCTTACAGGCTTTTGCAGTGTGGTTATTGATATAATACTATAATAAAAAAATGTGTAAAACCAATTCAATTCTAGAGGAGGGATGAGTAATATCAAAATAAACAGATATATTTTTAAAACCGACATTACTTGTGGAATGACCTCATAACTTAAAACTACGAAGTTTTCTAGTACAGAATTAAATACAACAGCCACTGGAAAACAAACAAAAAGCTTACCAGTTTTAGGCTTGAACTTCAACTTGACAATCAATTCAATCGCAGGGATAAGAAAAGCTAATGTTTTTCCAGATTCTGTTCTGGCATTTCCAGCCAGATCTCTACCTTCTAAAAGCGGTGGTATAGCTTTCGCCTGAATTTCCGTCATCCGAGTGAATCCCATGTCTTCGATGGCTTGCAATGTTTCTTCTGACACCTTTCCTTTCAGTTCACTGAAGCTGGCACTACTTGAAATTTCTAAGCCCAGCTGCCTCTGTGGTACTAAAATTGAATAGAAGATGTATGATTTCATATTTAAAATAGACTAATAAAAATAATAGTAAGCCATTTTTTTAAAGGAGTTGCAAGAGGTTTAATACTTAAAATTTAAAATTTAAAAATAAAATCATATTTTTGAGGATGACTAATGAAAACTAATACATCCTTTTTTTTTTTCTATATAAAAATGTATTTGATGTTTTAAAAATAGAACTTACAGCTCTTCCCAAGCTTAAGATTATGAGAGCCGGCCCTTTTTACATCTTTCTTATGTTTCTCTTTCTCAGATATTTCACAACCATTGGTGGTTTGCGAGCCAGAATTGTTAAATGATTCATCTATCTCAGTTATGACCTTAGTTGTCGACTTGTTTTTGTTTTTCTTTCCTAAAATAATAATATTTTTAAGGTTCAACAAGTTTTGAAATTTACATTTATTATTACTTAAATGTATCTTTTATTTTATCTTTTCATTGTTAACATTAAATACATTCGATTTTGATCAATATATTAATAATAATTTCTATAAAACTACTAATTAATCTATATAAATAAAATAAAGATTTTGTTTGTACATTGAACAGAATCGAGGCGATTTGTGATATCTTTCCGTTTCATACATTGCAGACAACAAATCCACTTTTTAAAAAAATGTTGTCTGTCTGAATGTCCGCATTGCTACGACATTTTGTCAGGGGTAAGCTCAGCAATGGCTTATTGTAGATGTTTGAAATTTTAACATTCTATTAAGGCTTGCTTGACTTAAAACATAGGCTTTAATGAAAACAAAATATTGGGTATAACCAAAGTTGTGAATTCTTGAGTAATTTGTCTAGAGATCTCGGTTAATGTTGATAATAAACATATGTTTATAGGTTCAAGAACATCTATATAAATAAAATAAAGGTTTTGTCTGTACATTGAAAAGAATCAACCCATTTCATGATATCTTTCCGTTTTATAAATTACAGACACCAAATCCACTAAAAAAAAATGTTTTTTGGATGGATGGATTTAAGTCTGTCTGGATGTCCGCATTGTCCAATGAAATTTTGCGAGGGGTAAGCTCGCCAATGGCTATTGGTAGACTTTTGAAATTTTGACATTAGATTTAGGTTTGCTTGACTTAAAATATAGGCTTTAAATGAAAACAAAATATTGAGTAGAACCAGAGTGATGAATTCTTGAGTAAACGAACGTGCTCTACTTGTTGCCACATATAATTGATTATTCGAAATTACTAGACGTTGCAATAATACACACATTTTTCCAAAATTTGGACCCTGCAATTTGATTATGGTCATAACAAATGGAAGTATTGTCACAGAAAATGTTAAATTAATTCTTGGAATTAAAATTCTTTTATTTAAAGTAGCTCCCGTTAATACTTCTCATTCTCATTTATGATTCCCATTAACCAATGCTTGTGCAGTATTTAAGTCAAGAATGAGCATAATTACATAATTTACTTTTAATGATGTAGAGATGGTTGACCGTGATATAATATGAGGAGTTGGTCGGGGAGGTGCAGTCAAATAAATACTAAATTTTTTTAAAAAATAGTATTTTTAATTGTTTCGCCCAATGTTTTTAATTGGTTTTTGGCGAAACAATTAAAAATATTTTTTAAAAATTTAGTATTTATTTGACCGTACCCTCCCGACTAACCCCTTCTCAATTTACTTTTAAATTTAATATATGAGGTAACATTCCATTAACACAAAATGATATAATCTCTTCAAATAATAGTTCCAATTACTTCATGTAAAGTTTTGGATTTATCAAAAAGCAAAATAATAGAAAAGCAAAAGAAAAAGTAGTAAATGTTTAAAACGATATATCATCTCTGCACCAAATAGTCCGATTTTGATAAATTTTTTTTTTTTATTTTGTAGGGAATTCAGGAAGCTTTCAAATAAATATTGGTATTATGAATAAAAAATGTCTACTTTTTGAGTTATTCACAAATAAAATTCTGAATTCATCAAAAAAATGTACGCAGCTTGTTTTCAAGGGGAAGACTTAAGCCAAGTTTTATTAAAATCATCGCAGGCATTTTGGTGCTACAGTCTAGAGTAAATTATGTTTTTTGGCTGCCATTTCGAAAGGAAAGGCCTGATGATAATGAAACTTATACCAAAAACACTCCTAAATCTGTGTCAAATGTCAACGTTGTGTCACAATTTCAAAGAAATCAATGAAGAATTTTTGGAGAATAGCTGTTTTGAACAGACTACCATTTATATTTTTATTTACATATACTATTTCATATTTTTCTTTATTAATAACACTAAATTTGATCAATAGCTATTAAACAAAAAAATAAGGAAGAAAATCGATTGAATAATAGAGAAGAAAAAGAGGCTGAACCGTTTTGTGTTTGTCTATTTGTATAATGATATATAACATATTAATACATTCATAACATAAGGATAAGAAGACTTTTGAAACTGTCACTATCACTGGACCGGTAATTTGTCACAAGTTCAATGGTGCCACTAAAGCAGTGACAGATTTTCCTAGACTGTCACATTCCTATAATCCAGGGACTCACAAGATCCTAAATCGGTATATATATGATTTAATGTTGCTCTAAATAGTCCTAACACATTCAATTGCAGGGACTAGTTATGGACAAAACGGTTTATCATGAGCAGCAGTTACAGTTTCTGTGATTAACGCGATATTAATACTTCAATTATAGATTAAAAAGAGAAGTAGAGAGTTTAACAGTCACAAATCGCAGTAATGGGAGGTTATACTTTGAACACCTTAGCAATCCTCAGAAGCCCATTAATAGTGGTATCATGGGATCGTGGCCCACCCAACAAAGTAGAGCAACGTATGTACAGCGGTACCAATAATTTGATTGCAATATTGACTGTTTCAATATTCATCATGAGTTATAACATAACCCTTAATAAGTGCAAGCTCACACTGTTATTATCTCTTTATTATATAAAAAAGATTTTAGTGATTTTTATACTGTATTTTATCTTAGTATGAGAATAGTGGAAGATTATAGGAGCTCAGCGATTATGTTACAAATTACAAAACTGTTCATTTAATTACGTATGTATTGAACTCCTGTTACCTCAACCTCCTACTCTCTTAATATAAAATAAAGATTTTAGACTAAAAATTTGTATGAAAAATGTTTTATTTATGTTGATAAAAAATAACGTATCTGAACTACAGAATACAAATAAATTAAAGCTATACAATTCCAGCAACTAGTTGTACAATTAAAGAAGTATAATTTGGAAAAGGGGGGTTGGCCACAGGGACAGGGGTAATCCCTCCCCTCTCATATTTATTAATAATAAAAAGTTTGGAATTCAGCCGCCAAGAGGTACTTTCTGACACTTGGCTAACTTCAGCATTTGACATACAGTATGATCAATGTGATCATGGCCCAACTGTCAATGGAATGTGACATTCCGATAGTTTAACCGTCTTAATTAGACCTATAAACCAACAATTATGAAACAAAGAGTATAATAAGCACAAAGTATTTTTTCAAATAGAAAATAAAAAAATAACAATAAAAAAAAAAAAGATAAATATTGGAAACATCAGACAAGTTCATGTGACCCTTTAATACTACAAAATAGATTAACTATATGTTCATTATTCTGCCATTGACAAAAACATACCACCAAGCCTATTGATAAATAAGAAAATTTTATGATGTTTCCATTAAAAATTATTAAAGCTCAAACATCACCACATGGTCAATTAAAAACAACATATTAAACACTATAACAAAAGAAAACTTACTAGTCATGTTGCAAATGTTAAGCTAAAAGCTCTTTAATATTAAAACACTAAAATATAAAATATACAAAAAGTTAATTCAACAAAGAATTGTGTGGCAAATCGGAATTTTGACTCAGATCTTTCAAACCAGGCGGTAAGAACTAAAGGTGAGTAATTCAAGAACGAAGTGGTTCAGAAAAATGAGCTATTATCAGCATAGTTTCATTGGCTAAGAGCTACATTTTGTTATTTATTTAAAAGAACTATGTAAAATCGAAAGACCATAATTTCTTTTATTTCTTTAAGTAAATTAGTTAATCTTGAAATGTTTATTAGCCAACTCGGTTCACTTACTAACGAAAAAATTTCATTAGAATTGGTTGAAAGGGAATCGGCCAGATTAGTGAAATTAACTGTTAACACTGTAGAAGGAACTACAGTTAACAGAATTATTAAATAATTTCCATTTGTGCAAGTGTCCTGTAACAGTATTTATTGCCTAAGCGTCTCGACACCTACAAAAGAAAGAAACTACTCGGCCACTAAATTAGAGCTCTTGGTGTTTTTCTAGAATATCCAAAAGTTCAGATTTTTTTATGTTGAAGTGGATATGGACAAGTCGACAAGCAATGCCACAAGATTTTCGACCATTTTAAGGAGAAATTTACTTTGAGGAGTACCATACCATGGCGAGTCTACCCTGAATTCCTACAATGGTTACAAGATGGATCATCTCCGGACAATGAAGACATACATTGTATGATACTGAGGACAGAACCTTAATTGGACATATCTAATCTTAAGAGTGCATGTCAAAGACTATGCTCAGATGAGCGCAGTTTTTAGCAGCAGAAAACATGCATGAAGTTCTCAGTGAATCACCATTTCACACTAAATATACCGGAAATATGGTGGAAATGGATATTCAAGATACAAATCCGGAAAAAGAAATTGATACCTTCTTTCTTTTGCGGATTATTTCATATGGAGACCACATCTATCAAGTATCAAAATGCGGTTTCTCAAAAGATCTGACTGCTAATAGATAAGTAGATCTAATACCAACTGCAGGATGGATCACATTTATAGACCCATCTTTGATTGTATGGTTTATTTTGTCAATTGTAAGAAGAACGATTGGGGTCAGTGTATACCAAGTGTTCTAACGGCGTAATTAAATTCAGCCTATAGAACCAGTGATATATTTTCTTATAATCAATAGATTAAAATTTATTCCATTGTGGACAGAATGGCCGGGCACGTTGGGGGTGAGCCCCAGAATGGCCGGTTCTGAAGGTTGTGGGTTCGATTCCCACCTGGGTCGGTTACTTTTCATTTCTCAGCGGCTCGGGAAATGGATCGTGACATTCCCACTCTAGCAAGTACACGGCGGCAACCTCAAAGATAGCCTTCAGAGATTTGCAAAAAGGACCACTATAGGTCCACTTGCCGGACTAGTTCCCCCCACCAGTACCAGTACCAATGGGTTTTAGTTGTCAAACCTAAAGGACAATCTGGTTATAGTAGGTTAAAGGAGCTAAAAGAAGATGAAGATCAGTCTACGGCAATGACGTCATCATCACTTTGAGCACAAACCTACAACTTGACAACCCAAAGAAACTTGTTGTGTCCACCCTTTCCTTGTTTTATAGGCTTTACGAACATTTTCTCGGGCCAGGGGCGAGGAATCAATACCAGAGTTGAAAAGGCTCCTTGGCCTTTTCGCGCGATACAAAATAATTATGAAGTGAACTCATAATTATTTTGTATCTTGTAACTTCGGTTTATCATGTGGTTGGTAGCAGGATACACTTAATGCATGGAGGCCATCTTAGAGCATGGATAGAATCTTAGACCTCTCAAAATTTTCTCTAAATGGTGAATAGTAAGGCGTTTTAATCCCTAAAGGAGTTGAAGGAGGACATAAGAGAGGTAACAGAGAGTTTCTTGAAACTTGTGCCTTTAAGGCTCTGGTTACTAAGAAATAAAAGGGTAACAACATACTGCTAAAAAAATATGGATGAAATGTGTTGGATAATATTTGCAAAACATAATGCCTACATACACCACAGCAGCATAGTCAATGTCTGAGTGCAGTGGAATGCCATTAATCTAGAGAAGATGGCAAGAACAATAGAATAACTCAATAATAAATTTGGATAAAGTTTGGTCATTAGTAATGTCTAATTATACCATAATGATATTGTGAAAGTTGAAATGTGGATGGAACTTTAAGAGGAAACATAAAGTTATCTGAAACCATGAGGAAAGAGATGATCACTAAGTTAAAATAACCCTAGGATAGCAATGGACTCCTTGGGAATTAAGTGAAATGGATTGAAAAGGGTGTAATATCTATGTATTCCACAAATCTATATTTCAAGTAATAAGGGCAAGATGGAATTAATAAGAATAAAAGGAGCTTACCTATTCAGTAAGATGAGATTTCTTTTTATAACTTTATTTCTATATCCACACCTGTCACTTATATCTTCACAATAAGTGAAATTAATGTAAATATATTACATGAAATAATAGACAGAGCAGATACGGGAAAGGCCAAGGCTGTTTATAGGGGTGCAAAAGAGTGGTTGGCAAATTGTGGGGGCTGAAATCCATTATGGCCTTATGGCTATACAGAACTGCGATTAGACCCTTAATCCACTATGCAAATGTAGTTTGGTGGCGTAGGGCAGCTGCAAGCAGGCCTGGAATGCTGCTTGGCAAGCTTCAAAGGCTGTGCACAGATACTGGTTGATGCAGATCCTATTTGAGGGATAAGCCTTGACTTTGAGAAAAGGCATATTATGGCTATCATGGCCAATAAATTTATGCTACACTAGGTGCAGACTAGGAAACAAACCCATTCTGTTATTTCTAGTAGGGCCCTGCCATAAGAGAAGTAATTAACTTCTTGTAATGGACAGGAATACCATTAGGCGGGTGACTGTATACCGGTCACTTTCAATAAAATAAACACCTTTACGGTTGGGTGTAAGTGAGACCTCCACCTGCAGGCTACGTGACCTGGAGGATGAAACGGTCTATCACATTATTTGTAGACATGATAATTTGGCTAGACTGTGATACTTTCACTTTGGATGTGATCGTATCACTGACCATAAGCACTGTGAAATGATTATTCCTACTTGTATCAATAGGTTCGCGAAGGTATCTGACCTGTTTTGACTAAGTTTAGGATGACGCACAATAGGCCTTTTCGAGGCCGTGGTGCACCCCTTAAGTCGGCGTTAAAAAAAAAAAAAGTATAAGTATTTAGTCATCTGCTTTTCAATTTCGAGCATTTGCAGTTTTAGTTCGAGCAATTGAACACAGTAGTTTTAGTTTTCTATTTAAGCATAAGCTATTTCACATGTGGACACATTCTTCTATCAAAAGTGAGTCCTAAGTAAAGAACTATGTTAGTCTGATGAACGGGTTCATTGTCTTAATTATAAATTAGAAGACAAGTGCCATGAGTGAATGTGATGTGCTGAGATTTGTTATTGAGCTTTATATTACATTGTTTAAATTTAATTGAAGCCTGAGTGAAATATGCCTATCTAATGGAATAGCTGTATCGTCTGCGCAGGTTGCTGTTGGTGTTAGGACCTACTTGTATATGGTGAGAAATAAGACATAACTTAAGGTAGCAATAGACAGTTTGAGGATAGGGAGAACTGGGCTAGAATGTGTTTATTTCATATTCATAAAAGTGTGTTTTCATAAATGTGTTTATTTCATATTCATAAAAGTCTCATGATAGTTAGTTAAGAAAAACAAAAGAAAGTACAATTACTTTTATATGTCGAAATTTCAGCCTGCATTCTAGAGCTTCATTACAGCACAGGTGTTTTAATTGCAAAATATAGTAAATATAGAAATGATGATTGTCCTATTAATTTGGTACTAAGCTCAAGGTCCCACATTCAAATCCCGGCAGATTAGTTATTTATTCTCTTTCCTTTTGGAGTACACCCAGCCTCTATGTGGTTGCCCTTAATTAAATAATTAATGAATGGGAGAAAACTTGGTGGTTAAGTATAATCTCAATCAAATCTCCTCCTTGAATAAACGTTTACCAAGATACAGTATCTTCCCTGATAGAGAACCCAAGACCCTTCATGGATTGAAGTTTTTTTTTACTAATAGAAGAGGATGAGATTAGCTTAATAAAAAGTTAAGCTTAAATTGCTTATTTAATAAAATTATATCACTCATATCTCTTCAACTAGACAATGGATACACCTTGATATACTCGGGAGTCCCGAAAAGCAAACATGGAAAGGAGGGTGTGGGTATCGTTAAGTCGGAAGAGGTTATGGCAAAACTTGAAGACTAGCAACTAATATCCTCTTGAATTATTCTGGCTGATTTACAGCTTGGTATGGAGAGAACCTCCTTCATACAAGTATATGCTCCAACTGAGGATGCAGTGGTTGCCGACAAGGAACTTTTCTACATGGATCTGGAAAGAGTAGTTTCCCAGTGTAGAGACAATAATAAAAAAGTGATCATTGCAGGAGATCTCAATGATAGAACAGGCTGGGATTATCAAGCTGAATATGGAGCCATCGATTGACATGGCGGTAAAAGGACAATAAATTCTAATGGGAACTGTCTTATGGAATTCTATGTTGATAACCATCTCATAATAGGAAATTCGTTCTACCCGCATAAAAAAGTCCACAAAATCACTTTCTCCTCTGGATAACCAAATATCATCATAGATTACTTTATCTATGGTAGAGATATCAGAAGATATTACACAGATATCAAAGTTATTAGAGGAGCTGAATTAACCACTGACCATCTGCTATTGGTGGGAGGCACTATGATTTTAAAGGAAAGAAAGAGACATCTAAAATTGTATGAAAGAATAAATGTACAGAATCTGGAGTCAGAAGAAAAGAGAGATAAATATATGAAGATCAGTGAAGAGAGGTTAAAGGAAATAGACTTTGACAGAAACATAGATGACTAGTGGAAGGATTTTCAAAACACGATACTAGAGGTAAGCCAACTGAGTATGTGGAAAAAAGAATGTAAACATGGGCAGAAAATGGACAAAATGGTAGAACGATATGGTCAAATCAAGCCTGGAAAGAATATTTGGTAAACACAGTAACAAAAATCTTGAAGTATATAGAACCAAAAGAAATTAATGTAAAAAGATAGTGAGAAAAGAAAAAAAAAAGAAGGAATGGAAAGAAGATATTTGGAAGGTGATTACAGGAAAAATGTAAAGAAATTCTGGAAGAAAGTCGACCCTAAAAAAAAAAAAAAATTAACCAAAATCTGTTAGAAATGTTAAGAATGAAGGAGGAATGCTGAACCGTTCTTAGAAAGATGGAGAAGATACTACACCGTCTTTATGGATAACGATGGTCTTGTAGAGAGTGTGGATGCTTCCCAAACGGATGATGATCAGGAGGTTATTTGGAAGGAAGATGTTGAACAAGTAGTGCAGAAGATCAAGCTTGGAAAAGCTGCAGGTCACAATGGCATTTTCTCATAATTCATTATATATGGCAGCCCAGAAATGATAAAAGTTCTACAGGCTCTTTTTCAAAAGATATGAAGAATCCTCGAGAATGGGAACTCAACGTAATAATCCCGATCCACAAAAAAGGAAGCCCAAGTGACTGTTCAAACTATAGGCCAATATGTCCCTCAGCTGTAGTATATGAATTGTACACCTCTATTCTGGAGCATAAATAAGACAGCTAGTAGAGGATGGTCTGGAGGAAGAACAGGCTGCATTCCGCCCAGGTAGACAGATGCAGGACAATATCTTTGTGCTGAGAAAAATAATGGAGAAGTGTTGGGACCAGGACAGAAATATCCATCTGGCTTTTCTGGATCTCAGAGCAGCCTTTGATTCTATTCCACGAGTAAATATATGGGAAGCCTTGAGAGAAAAAGGTATACCTGTCCCTCTAATTCAAGCAGTAAGATCAATGTACCAAGAACCAAAAGGTATAGTGAGAATAAATGGTTTGAGTTCGAAACCTTTCCCAATGAAAAAAAGGATACAGTCTTAGTCCTCTACTATTCATTATATTTATGGATGAAATTCACAAGATATATAAGAGGACGGAAAGAACTGTAATATGGAAATGGAATTTAAGAAAATATCAGTAGGCATATTTATTCACGGACGATATTGTTCTTGTCTGTGATGATAAAGGAAAACTGCAGCGGGTCCTGATAGAATGGCGAGGGGAACTGTTGAGTAAGGAAATGGTCATAAACTGTAAGAAAAGTAAAATTCTGGTGATTTCCAGAAAAGAGGAGGATGTATATCTCTACTGTAACGGCGAGGAGCTTGAGGCTGTCGATGAGTTCACTTATCTGAGAATGGTGGTTAGCAATACTGCCACCGTTGACAAAGAAGTATCCAGCAGAATTGGGAAAGCAAATAAAATCTACTATCAGATCACAATAGTAGTCAAGAGAGAAGTCAACAGCCAGGTCTAGCTCCACATCTTTAAAGCAGTACTTCTGCCGACTTAACTGTATGGATCAGAGAGTTGGGTGACACTGGACCGACAAATTAGCCGTTTGACTGCAACAGAAATGAGGTATTTACATAGAGCGCCAGGTAAAACAAGAAGGGATCGCATCAGAAATGAGACCATAAGGGAGCAGTTGGCCATACAATCAGTGAAAACCACCTTCCAGATGGCAGGTGAACAGCTAAGATGGTTTGGGCTTGTATGAATAAGGACCAAGACCCAAGAAGGGTAATGGAAGCCCGATCAACAGGCAAAAGACCCAGATACGGGCCAAGGATACAGTACAATGAATAAATCACCATGCTGTGCACCGAAAAAGGAAAAAGTCTCGGTGAGATGAGGACGCTGACGTGGGGTCATGAGGACTGGCTCCGTTGGATACAGGCTCCTCTACAATGAAAGGCATCAAAGAGGAAGGAAGAGAAGAAAATATCTCTTCAATATTTCAGAGAAGCCATTAATTACATCAAAATTTTTTAAGTTCATGACTGTGATGGCGGGCTCCTAAAAATTTTCTATTTTACTCATATCAATATCAATATCTTAAGCATATCTAAGTTGATCAGAATACTAAAGGTTGAGCTCAATAAAACAACTAATTGATAAAATATAATTTACTAAAGAGATTGATCACACATGAACATAAATACAATGGGAAACGAAAGACCAAATGTTCTTAATTAAATAGACATAAACAAAACAATATTTAACATTTTATTTGTTGAACATAATAAAATTAAAAATAAATTATATAAAATAACAATATTTTAGATCATCAATTAAATGAAGTTATATAAACAATAGTCGAACATATAATTAATTGGTGGAATACAAGCTAATGTTTTTTTGTTTTGTTTTTTTGATAAAAGTAAACAAAATATATATATTCTATAAATAGCTTGGTTTTCAACCATTAATTTATTTAGTAATATAATTCATTTTATAAGTAGTCTAGTCATGGCACCATAGCAACGGCAATGTTTATTTAGAGATGGTGGCCAACATAATTGATGCATAAATTAAATTAAATAACCTTTCCATCAAGGATCGAGTTTATTTAAATTAAATTCTTTTGAGTAGTTCTGTGTTTGGTAATAGAGGATATGAATGCACAAAAACATACTCAAAGAGAGAAATGAGGTAGAGAAAGTCTTCACTCCTACTGTGGAGTGAAAATGTGACATTGAGTCTCTTGGAGACTACATGTAACTAAATAATAAGGCATCACATCCATGGTATTTTATTTTTTTTTAAATCTTAAAATGGTAGACTTCAGCTGGTTTAACTCATAGCAAACTTCTAAACAGCTGACTGCTGTACTTACTGTTATGCTGTTAACCAACAATTTTTAAAAACTAATATTTGTATGATTGTATATACAAGATGTCCCATCATTGAAAGTATATACTTCTTGGACACAGCCTTTACCTTTTAGAGTGAAAATGTCTAATGAACATATTTAAAGGTAGGAGTGTGCTAGAAGTGGAACCCCAATTTGTTTTGGCTTAATTTCCATATGATGTATGGTAAAATTAATCAGAAAAGCTAAAAAAAACAAAAACATCTTGAGGTTCTTTGATAGAAAAAAGTTTGTTTTTTTTTTGTGTAAAGCAATAGGCAGAGTTAAGCAGTATGCCACCGAATTATTAATTGAACATCAATCATATTGTTAACCAAAATGAAAGAGATTCATTAAGACTCTAGATCTCCAGGATTTTTAGTCTATTGAATAAGTAATGTTTATGTATTATACGCTGATTTTTATACTCAACTGTTATCATATTATTTAAAAAATCTAGACCAAATCTCGATAAAAAATGCATTTATTTACATTAGAAACAAAATAAAAAATCATCACATGATAATGATAATTGCTAATTTTCATGTTTAATAAAACGTTGAAGTAATGTTTTTATTTCATCCATTCGATCATATTTTTTCACTTATCTCTTATAATATTGAAAGTGTTTAAAGTCAATACGGATGACCCGACCCTCAAAATGAGCATTTTATTTTAATTTATTTTTTCACTGACATTTTCACAAACTGTTTATAATTTCTTAAGTTAGTAAATATTAGTAGACCACCAATTAAAATTTAATTAGAGTACAACAGAGGAAATAGATACAAACCGTTTTTGTCCATTGACCTAAATACATATTTTATAATCTCTTCCAAGATAAATTTGAATAAAATCTATACAATGCTATTAAAAAATCATAAATAAACTTCAACAATGCAGAAAGTATTTAATCCACAACTATTTCAAGAAAAAGATCTGCTTTCTTGATATTATTAATATACCTATTGAAATGAAATACCTATATTTTTTAAAAGTTTAATTTTTAAAAAATTACTATCCTAATCAACCATTTTGATAGATACAGTTTTTTAATCTATATTTTCAGTCTTGTTTGTCTGTTCAAGAAAGCTATTCATTTCTGGTTTAGCTTGATGAAGCATAGTGAAGTGAAATAAATAGTCAGTTTACATTAAATAAGATGCATATATTATTTCATTTAGACCAATATTCTTAATATCATCTCCTTTTTATATAACCAATATTAAATTATTATTAATTTATAGTTAATTTAATAAAACGTTATCAATCTCCAAAAGTTGACACGGCTTGCCAATCAATATTTTAATTTAAATTATTTTTTAAAAAATGTTTTAAGCAGTATACGTTTCATACTGTAATAATATTCGTTTTTGTAATTTGAAATAAAAAAAAATAAAATGATTTTTTCCTCACTATTTTCTTGAAATTAAATTGTTATTAATACATATTAAAAGATACAAAACCTCAAATCTAGTTTTAAATTATTTTTTTTTTAAATAGAAATTTCTAAACTTTATTGACCACTAAGTATTGACTTAGGAATATTAAAATTACATGGTAAAGTATATTTGTATAAATATTTATTTTACAATTATAATACATGCAACTTTAAATAAAAAAAAAAAAAAATCATAAGAATAAGAAACATGTCAACATATTACTTTATAATCCTGTAAAGATTATTACGAATATTATTAAGAAATTTCTCATTAATTATATAGGGCACTATATACAATACTTAAGCTAAATCACTTTCGATATCACTGAATCAAAAAATTTAAAAAGAATTCATTGCTTAAAATAAATCGAAAGATTTTAAAAGAAGCTGTTATAATTTTTCAGTCTATATAGTTTTATCATTATTTACAAAATTGATTAGATATCAAAACCTATGTTAATCCGAGTCGCTATAACTACCTGATAAGGATTTGTCTTCAGGTTTAATAACTACACTTTTAAGGCGCCTATTAAGCATTTTTTTCGATGGAAAATCATCTTCTGAACTACTACTTTCAATACGAGCCCTCCTCCTACGACGTTTAATCTTATCATGTCGTACTGCTTTCCTCTTTTTCCTTTTATGCGATGACCTTTTCTTACCATACTCAGAGTCAGAAACTGAAGATAAAGACGAACTATAAACACTCGATGAAGGAGACGAAGATGATGAAGAAGATGAAGATGACGATGTAGACGAAGTTGATGATGAGCTTGTGGTAGTATCTTTAGCTACTGGTGCAAAACTTTTAAATGGATTAGGAATGACAGGAGCAGATGTACAGGGTTGATTGGGATCAAAATCTTGTTCCATAGATGAATCGTTACTTTTAGTAGCAGATGAATTCAGCAAAGAATTACTATTAAGTTCAACTTCTGGTTCATTCATTTCATCATCAGTTGACTCAATTACAATTGTCTATAAAAAATAGAAAAAAAAAACATTATAACAGGATAATTTATTTGTGTTGTTATGCGTAATAAAAATTCAGTAAATTGTTTTTAGAGTACAAATCAAACATAAGAGAAAACTGAAAAATTATAACCTATTAAAAAAATTGTTTTTTTATTTAATGACATTGAATAAGCTCACACAGCCAGATAGAAACTTATGATGATGTTTTAGGTCATTTTTGACTAAATGTATTTCTTAATTAATTGTTTTAAAATACTTCACGGTGCTATTTTAACTGCTACTATTAACGACTAGGTAAGGAAAGTTTTGCAATCTGGTTAAATTATCGATATGCAGTTTTCGACGGATTTATACGTTTCAGAGCCCCCTGAGTTCAGAAAAAACACTGTTTAGCGTGTTTTGTTTTTTAATGGTAATGAAATTTCCTACAAAACTATATAAAAATTGTTCATTTCGGACAACTATTAATGAAGTTACAGATATTCAATTTCCAATGTATGATTATGGGTACATATCCTGGTGTCAGAAAAGGATGATTGAGAGAAAAAATATAACTTAGTGAAAGTAAAAAAAGCTGTTGGCCGCATCACACAAGCTTCACTATAACCTCTACTATTAACAGAAATTATTGTTTGACAAAATTAGGCTATGGCAAAAAGTTTTTGATGAATAATTTTAGAGGGTATTAAAATTTTTACACAGATGTACCTTAAGCCGGTTTACATTGCTTTAGTTTATCAAATAAATCGTACTCAAATCTTTTCTTTGATCAATTTTCAGGAAGATAAATCTAATTCAATTTTTTTGATTCTTGATGGACGTATGTAAAGATATAAAAACTTTTCTGAAATAGGTAGGAAAGTAGTGTGAGTGGACACACCAGATTTTTTCAATTCAATTCTATTCAGATAGAGTTTTGTTTAATCATCAGAGATAAAAAGAATGTAGCCTGCGAATAAATATGTCGCATATTGTTCTCAAGTTGTATTTATTTTTCACAGATCTCTTTTTCCTCCTCTTACATATCTATATTTACATCTATAGAATGGAATTAAATTAATCTATATATGATACCATGAACCATTTTTAATATTATTTTTTTAATGCAGATGTAACATTAAAGCCTAATAGAAATACAAGCTGAATTCACAGCTATAATTGTTATAATTATTAACTATAATCTATAATATATTATATAAAATATAATACCTCAGGAGTCACTGGTGAAATCATGCCAACAATTTCAACTTCATGGTCAGAATTGCTAGAATCATCTGATATTTCTATAACAGTTTCAGTAAAAGTAGGAACATTAGAAGGCCCAGCATGATTGGATAAATCTAGACCAACAGGAACATTTGCTCTTAATATATTTACAACCTAAAAGGAAAAAAAAAAAAAAATCAGATCAAATGAATCCTGAAGGACTAGAATTTAAATGTATAGATTTAAAAAAAAGTACTCCACAGCATGGATTTTGAAGACTTGATAAATTGTAGGAGATTCTGCCTATTGGAACAGTGAATACCAATGAGTTTATTTTTCAGAATAAACATACATGACATCACAGCTATAGATTACAAAAATACTTTCAGTAGTGCCACGAAAAGAGGATGATCATTTTTCCTACATTGTCACATATAGTGAAGGCTTGATCAGTTCAGCCTTCAAATCGCCTATGGTTAGCAAAATCAACCATCTCTTGAAGTCATCTAGTAATCTCACTACTAGATTATATTTTGGAAAAAATTTATTTGTACTATAATTTATGAATTATATAATATTTATAGCTTAATAATAAATATAGCTGATAAATTAACTAACCGCCTTTTCCAACATAAATGCACCAATTTGACAAATCAAAATTTTATCTTAAATTTATTTCATTAATCTGGTAGTATATATCCCTTTTCAAGTTCTTAGGAGAGATGAAAGAAAGAAGAAGTGATGAAACCCAATGTTGATACTTAAATTCGTACAACTTTAATAAAAGTCATTGAAAATAGTACTGTTACTACTACGTAGTACTACAGACCGGTGCGGTTCTTGGCCTGTTCAATGAGTCTTCGCCAGGTCAATCGATCCTGGGCAGCCTCTCGACAGTTGTGTGTGACAAGCAGCTCCCTGGTATTCCTTGCTACTCCATCCTTAAATCTTAATCGAAGTCAACCTCTTCTTCTGGTGCCATACAGTCTTTCATCCAGCAACTTCCTTGGAATCTCTTCTAATGGTATCCGCACAACGTAGTCTGCTCAATCATATATAAGTCATTAAATCCGCTTTTCTTTAGAGCCCATAAACATTTGCATTGTTTCTCCTTCTCCAATTGTTACCTTCTTTCACAGCTCCAAATTTTTAGCGAACCATTTCCCTTTCAAAAATGAGATGGGCTTTTTCCTCTAAACTTGTGAGAGTCCAGGACTCTGAGCCGTAAGTTAGGACAGGACTGATGAGGGTCACACCAATAGGCAAATACAATTGACATTTGGTAGAGGGAAATAATGATGAAATGAAATGAAAATATTTTAATTATTATTTTGGAACTGTTGTCCCTTTAGAATAAATTATAAGTACAGTGTAAATGCCAGTGTGGCCATGCTTAAATTAAGTATTTACTGAATAATAGTTAATTAAAAAAAAAATACAGATAGAAAGAGAAAAAAAAAAAAAAAATCATGATGCACTGTTAAGATATCTGTCAAGACCAAAATAACATCTGTTGGCATTAACGAGTCACTGACAAATTTCCACGGAACATCAAAGATACCTAAGCTCATCCACATGAAGCAAGGTAAATGGACCCATTTCTACTGGTTCTTGTCCTACAGCGTCTGCTCCAGGTCCTGCTCGCAAATAATTGTTTTTTTCTTGATTAACAATTATTCCTATCTCTTTTACAGCCTCAGCTAACTTAAGGAACTCACTTTTGAGTGACAAGAATGATCCTGCAATGAGATCAAGATCATCTGAAAACCAATTACTTGAACAGACTTATTAAAAATAGTGTCTGTTGTCTGTATTCCTAAGTCATTTATGGACGTTTCTAAAGCTAAATTAAATAGCAGACAGGTGAGCCCATCACCCTGTCTGACACCTCTTGCGGAAATAAATGCGGGTGAAATATCCAACTGTACCCTAGCAGCGCATCTCGAGTCATCCTGATCAGGTGGAGAAGCTTCAACGGTATTTCCATTTCGCAGAGGGCTGTATATATGTACTTACGCCTTTTTATACTGTCATATATATTTCAAAAATCGACAAAAGGTAGTGGGTAATCTTCCGGTACTCCAGTGATTTTTCTACGTTCATCCTGATGCTGAATATCTGATCAACTGTAGGTCCATCCTTCCTGAAACCAGCCTGATACCCAGAGATATCAGGGATATATGAGAATACCATTTATATTTATGGCACTTTTGAATAGAAATATGAATATATTTATATTCATAAAAAGCAATATGAATATAGATGATATGTATTTACAGCGGTAAATATAAATATGGTCGTATTCATTACTTTAAAAGTGAATACAGCTGTAAAAGTGAATACCACTGTGAATATCACATTTATTAAAATGAATAAGCTTAAATTTACAGAAGTGAATGGAAATATTTTCACACAACCTTATGAATGAATACTCTTATTTATTACATAAATATTAATTTATTTGTTACTTTAGGTATTTTCCAAAATAAAACAAAAAAAAAGTATGAAAAAAATAAAAGTACTAGACAGTAAGGAGTTTATTAAATAAATATTTCAAAAATTTTTGGAATAATGTAAAAAGTTGGTCTGAAAATGATGTGCGAAATGATGTATACCTAACCGTTTAATTTTATTAAACATAAAATCATAATTATGAATATGTTAAGATTAATTGAATTGATCTAATCAGAACAGATTTGAATTTATATGCAAATATATAAACATATATCCACATTTCCAAATATAAAAAAAAAAAATAAAATAAATTAAAATAATATGCTAATAGAGTATGGGGTATTTTTAAAACAAAATAAAAGAATCATAAATTGTCTTTTAATCACTTACTACAATTTTTAACACATATAGTCACACTTTTATTATTCACTTTTACTTTATTACCTTACTAAATGGTGGGTCCAGAAAGGTTATCCAAATCTTTCTGCCATTGCCCCTTCTCTGGGCTTAGCTGGAAGCTAAGCTTGCCCGTATTCCACCCTGAAATTTTCAGGGTATTGTTGCGACTTTTGACTTGTTGTACATACTTTGACCTTCCATTAAACTTATTTTTATTACCATCAGCAAACCATAAGTAAACAGCGCACCGAAAGAACCATAGACACAAATTTTCCATTTTGGTAGAGGGGAGGGATGAGCGATGGATACCCAAAAAAAATGTTTCGGGAATTTCTATTATGTACAAAAATTATGAATGATAATTAACAGAACAACTATTTTATAGTCGGTGGTAAAACATCGGCTTTCAATAAAATCATTTTACCACTATTTAGCCTATTTATGACCGCAACCCCGGACCATCTCCTTCCTTTATAATGCAACGGCCAACTATTAAATATCCAATAATATTTATTAAGTAAACTGTCATTTTTTTCAAGTCGTTATAAAGTAAGTAGCTTAACTAATTATGATTGATGAATATATTTCTAGATAATATTGTAATAACCATATTTCTCATATATCGCTTATACTTTAAATGCTTAAGGGAGGAAAGATATTTAATGTGACAGTTCTCACTCTAATATATCAGTCATATCATAAATTAATTTTAGCAATACCTCTACGTCTGAATCACTCTCTGAAGACTCCTCCCGCGCAAGTCTGTGAGGTCGGGTATCCTGAGGACCGTACTCAGCCATAATATCGTATGAGATGATGTCATGAGGTGAAATAGCAAAATGATAAAATTCATGAACAAAATGCTCAGTTCTTTCACCAAGATGAGGTCTTATTGCTTCTCGAAAATGTCTTAAAAATTAAAAAAAAAAAATTATATATATATACATAACAGAGTTAAAAAAATATATATATACAAATTTAATTTTAATTTGATTTAATTTTAAAAATCTTGAAACATACCTGCTTTGAATTGGATACAAAGTAATAAGATTTAGAATTTCTTGAACTAAAGTTTGAGGATCAATACTAACATCAAGTAGCACGTTCAGTTCTCGGGTTATCCACGGCACAAGCCTATGAGTCTGAGCCGGGTTCAGTCTATTTACAAAAAAATGAATATAGAATATAGTCCGCAATACAGACTTCTTTTTAAAAATCTGTCTAAAACTTCGTAAATGATTTGTAATCTAAAATTTTGTTTGTCATTACAATACCCATTTGCTTTCCACTTGTATCATAATATAATCCAATCACAAAATTAAGGGAAAAGGTGGCCTAAAAAATATTGGGTTGTTTGGCAAATATAATAATCTCATTATTTTGATATGTTGGGGGTGGAAGTCACATCATAAGGCCTCACTAAATAAACAAAGTTAACTGATCTTCATATTGAAAATGCTCTATTTCCAAGAATTTTTGTATATAAAGAATTTTAAGGTTACGATAAGAAGAAGACATTCAGGAACTTATAGATGGATGTTAACAATTAGATATAAAGGGTCTATAACACGGATATTACAAGGATGATTCCCATCATGAATAAAAAACAATTTCTGAAATCATTTCTTCCTAATATACCCAGAATTACAGTTAGGTTTTTCAGAAGGTTTTAATAGAGGTAACAACAATAAATTTGACAATTTATTAATTATTGGTAACAATGAATTATAATTTAAATTATTAATCTGAATTATTAAACTACTAATAGCAGTTTAATATAACACAAATAAAATTAAACTTGATCACTTCACTATATATGTAAAATAAATTCATAAAGTAACTGTAACACTGTTAAGGCAACTTCACAAAGAACATTAAGGACTCGCCAACTAATCCACTGATTTCACACCAGAACTCAACAACCTTGTCAGTGTAAATCTCTTCCTTAAGCACTACAGGGTCAGTCGGAATGACATTCCGAATGGTGAGATACTTCCTGATTGATCTTATAAGGTTAAGATTGTTGAACTGATGGACTGTTCTCATGGATTCGAAATCCAGCCTTCAATCGTGAGATGTAGAGAGGAAACTGAGTTAAAAATGGAGGAGAGACTATCGTAATTACTAGGTTATTCTTCAATAAAAAACTATTTTTTTTTAAATGGGCAATAAAATTTAAGAAATAGAAAACTGCACATTTTAGTGAGGGACTTAATAGAAGTCAGTTATTTCAAGGCTGGAAACATAGCCGAGCTAGAGCAAATGGTTTTCTACACTTATGTGTGAAAGATTTAGAGCTATAGCAATCTCTTGCACTGATTGGATGGTATTTTGGCCTTAACATTGCTCGTTTCTTTCAATTTCAGACCAGACCGTTGAGCATCATTGATATCAAAATTTCCTGAAATTTGGTAAACCAATTTTCACAGGTGCGTTCCGTTAAGGCAACATCCCCATAAACACTGCAAATTTTTCTATGAGCTTCTGCAGCACGCTTACCTTTTTTAAAATAATACAACAAAATATGCCGATAATGAATGATATTTTCTTCAATATTGACAGCGCAATAGCAAACACAGTACTAAGCTAGTTTCAACAAGAGCTAGCAGATATAGTTGTTGACATATTAAAAACGTATAAACAATCCACCTAAGGGATTAATTCATCAGATAAGAAGTGTATCATAGTGACATAAAAATAAACAGAAAAACCGAAAGGACTTATTTGCCAATCCAATATATAATATATTTTACTTTTTTTTATTCTAACATATTTATTATTTAAGCAATATTTTCTCTTTTTGTAATAGACGAGCTTAAATTTTATCAAGCAATTTTTTGGACATTAGGAAGTAATCATTACAGTTCCACTTTTGTCTTGATGTTCAATGCAATAGAGGATAATAGTTAAACAAGTTTTTTTTCTCTTGATTATATAAAAAAGTTTTTAGGGACTTTCATATTTTATTTTAGAATTAGGAGAGTATGAGATTATAGGAGCTCTCCTATTAGCTTTATAATTAACACTTATTATATAGCTGTTAATTTAATTACATATGTGTTGAGCTCCTGTAATCTCCTACTATCCTAATACAAAATAGAGATTTACACCTTGTTGTCTTCGTTATAGTATTGAGCTCCTGTAACCTCCTACTCTCCTGGTAGAAAATAAATATTTTTGACTAAAAATTTGTAAAAAAAAATTGTTTTCATCTGAAGTTTGATTTTACCTAGGTGACATCAGTTATTTTTCAATCTAGACATTTTTGTTTTGAATAAAATATATTAATTATTACATCATATATAAAATTGTTTATATTATATTGTGATATAATTCTAATTATTATGAAATAGAAAAGGATGCACAATATAACGTAGAATGAAAATATTACAAATAAAAGGCTCAAATTATTGTTGGGTTTATATGAAGCTAAACAAGTTCAATATATATTATAGTCACAAATTGGGAATAAGAATAATTATATTTATATAATAATGAATTGGCAATAAGGTGCGATTTATAATATGGATTTTTAAAGAAATTAAAACTTTGTCTAAACTCTGGTTTCGTTCAATTTATTTCATGTTGATAAAAAATAATACAACTAGACCAACGAGTAGTACAATTACATGGACAATTGTATAAATTGTATAATGGAGGTTGTCCGCCGTTAGGCAGACAGGAGGTACCCCCCCTTGTTCTTATAAAAACATTTAATAAACAAAGTTTCAGATCCACGTTGCTTGGTGTCTCAATTTCAACAGAGCTAAAATGATGCCATCTTGGTTGATATACTTAGAGACTATTGTCATTTAAATCATTCTTGTCAGTCTTAAGGCAGTCATTCCTGACTGACAAGTGTAGGGTCCACTTCAAATATAGTTGTGGAAGGTCTAAACAAGCCCAGAAAGTTAGAGAACCTTTTCCATCAGTAAGTACTGCTTGAAAACTCACTATTTTATGAGTTTTGACAAACAAATCAAACCATTAAAATATTAACTTGAAAGCTATAAAATTTACATAATTGCTAATTTAACATTATAAAAAATACTATTCTTTAAATTTAGTAAATGATTGTTAATACCCAAAAATAAATGTTACAAGTTTTTAATTTTAAATAAATATACATAAAACTATCATAATAGATTTGAATAAGTAGACAAATTTGCAATTTACAATAAAAAATAAATAAGTAAAAATGAAATAATAGAAAATTTAAAACCTATTATTTGACCACAATTAGTTGATAGTCCGAAATTTTGAACTAAACTTCACAGTCGCTGTACTGATGTAGACCCACAATGCCAAAAGAATGGTGTCCAGGAAACTATATGCACTCACAACCTACATTGCATTTGAGGTGCAAAACTGCAGGACGACTTCCTCAATGATGATGACTGAGGAAAATTTCCCATAATCCAAAGATTTTATTTACAGCTGAAAAGTGGCGATTAAATCGACTCACATTAATCTACAAGCTTGAGGAAGAAGATTAGAGAACCAGTACCAACATGACAGCTGGAAGATGGAACTTCACTCTGGGGAAGAACAATGGACAGAGGATCCATGTCTTATCATATAGAGTGTCTTAGGGTGGTATGCATAGATTTTCCTCTAACTACACTACAATATTCCATTAAAAAGAAATACTTTTAAGTCACTCAATAAAAAAGACCTCCTTTCAACCAATTTCCTGTTTTTTTTTTATTTTAAACATTAGCAGGCCTACACATTAAATTAACAATTCAGCAAAGGGAGTAAGGAGACTGTTACAATTATTCTTTTTCTTCTTCTGCGTTCTTTTCTAAGATGGCCAGGTCAGCAACTAAAATAAAGGATTTGGTAGACCTCTTAAGATTTTTCAGACTTTTATATAGCTTTCTTCCGAAATTCAGTTGGAGAGGGCTAGATCAGTCTCCTTTGTTGGGAATAGAATCTACAAGGCTTGCAGGATATGCTCCGCATTCTGTTCACCCTCTCCACACTCGCAGAAGGAACTAGAGCCAATGTTGAACTTTCTGAACAACTTTGATTGGCTTTGATCCTGCTGTGCCCTGTTTGTAAGGGAAAGATTCAGACCTGCTCTTGTTGATTCAGTCCGTGAATAGCATCTCTGTGGTCATGATGTGGATTACTTCTGATCCAACGTAGGTTAATAGCTTTGTTGATTGTTTCAACCTCATCTAGGCTGAGCTTACAGTCAAACTGCGAATTTGAAACCCCTCATTCGCCAGATGGTCTACCCTTTCATTTCCAGAGAGGGGGGAGGAGGGATCCATAGCAAGACTACTTTCTTTTGAAAAGAAATAAAGTTTTCAAGTTCTTTAGCAAGTTTTCTCAGCCCTTGATCCAATTCGACCTGAGTGACTGTAACACAGGTGCTGCATCAGAACACAATTTTGGAGTTTTCAGGTCTCTTAAGTGTCCCTAACAGTTCCGATGTCTCACAGATGGCTTCTTGCTCAGCCCATTGCTGTTACAATTTTCAATACTGTCATTGCTTTAAGGAGTCCTTTTTCATTGAGTTTCGTAACAGTAATCCTTTTTGACAAAACTTTCAAATGGAGTAAGAGGAACCACTGTATATTATTTTAAGTTTGAAATTCTGGTACTGAATTCTCCTTGGTATAATAGTAGAGTCAAAAAAATATGTACATTAGTCTGACATGTAGATATCATACAAATATATATACCTGGCCTGATCGAAGCTCTATTTTTAAAACTTTGAAGAGGATCCCATCGTTAACTTATAAAAAGAAAAATACCGGGATCGAAACATCAACAAACATAGAGGAAATGAACATTCAGTAGTTTATTAAATAATTAATAGGTGACCTTATTCCCAATTAAATGGTTATGTTTATCCTGCTATATACATATATATATATATATATATATATATATATATATATATATATATATATATATATATGTATGTATATTAAGTAATTTATAAGTTTCTTTAGTGTTGCCTCCAGTCCTGTGGACAGCCCTCTATACACCAGAAAACTGTAGTCGAAGTGGGGAAAAACACGGGATGTTACAAGGAGCTGTCTGGTTTTTTTTGGAATAAAATCAAGGAATCAAAGGAATTGTTTAAGAATAGTAATGGATTTAGGGGTAATCTGAGAAATGTGGTTGTTCCGAGAGAGGTTCTGATCAAAGATCACTCGAGGTTTTTTACTGTCGGAAAGAAATGGATGGGACGGTTATTGTGGTAAAGTAAAGGAGAGAAAGAAAGAAAACTAATGAGGTGGTTGGAGCCAATGAGGATTAAGGCAATCTTAAGGATTGCCTTAGTTTTGTCTGCATTCAGCTTAGAGATCATATTAAGTTTAGAGTTTAGAGCGTTAAGTTTAGAGATCAAATTCATGAAGAAGAGAATATCGGCAACAATATCACCTGACACATCTCTTAGCACTTCCGTTGCCGAATCCCAAGACAAGACAGAGATGTAAATAAATAAGAAGGTTTGTGGGCTATCATTCATTTATTAACCACATACTTGATAATTTTTGAATACTCAAATAAAAAAAATTGAATAGAATATTTCAAAAGCTACCTATAAAATCCTGGAGATGATTGTCGTATTCTTGAGGACATGGCTGGTCTTACCCATCTCCCGCGACGATAAATATCTCGACGGTAACGAGAAAGACCCAAATTGGGTGGTCTGAACTCATGTTCTAAAGGAAGAGCAGCAGGATGAATAGTATCTGTGGCACGGACCAAGCCATTAACTTCTCGAATGTACAGCATAGAAGATGAAGTATTCATGGTAGGATACACTTCAGCATCAACTGCCATTCTCTGCCTGAAATCGATTTGATTCCTTCTGAAATCCAATGCAGCACTTCTAAAATAAGAATAAAACAAAAATATTACAAAAATATACAGATTTTTTTTTTTAAATCAGTTAATTCTTTCATTTCTACTCTACAAAAGTCACTACACTTTCATGGGTGGCACAAGATCTTAAATGGAATATGGAGAATGGTTGAGTGAGTTCAAAAGCAGATGGAATTGATTCAACAGTCTAATAAGAACCTGAACTTAACTGTAAGAGACACAAGGTTTGTGCGAGCTAGAGTCAAGCAGCGATATAATTAAATGTAATTAATGCCGCGATTATGAATGTAAAGGAACAGTTAAAAATTTATTTCTTATAAATGATTATCTAAATAAAAGGAGGATATAGTAGTAACAGGTTGTCAATTCTAGTCTATTTCAGAAATTTAAATATTGTGATCATAGGATCTTAAATTTGTCAAAGTGGAGTGACATTTGTATAGTGGTACCATTATTTCCAATACTTATGGTTATAGTTAAATAAAATAATAAAAGTTCTCTTAATTTACAATTTTAATGTGCAAATGGTCCGACATGACATCTAAATAAAATGCTCCTTCTAGCCACACTTAAAATTATTTTATTAATCATGATATTCTTTTTCATTTGTTAGATGAGACATCATCATATATATTATCCTTCAGCAATAAAATGGTTAAATGCAGACTAAATAGGCAACTAAAAGACAAGGCACCATTTACCTAAAAGAGTAAGGAACTGGACTAGGAGGAAAAGCAAAGTTGATGAACACAGTCTGGTCAAATTCAATATTCGGAGCATTGACATGGTACTCTTCAAAATCGTCCAGCGATCGCACATTATAAATAATAGTATGAAACCTCTGTTTACATAGAGGACACTCAGGTTTAATCTGAAAAAAAAAAAATTATTTTTTTAAATTAATAAATTGAATATCAAATAATAAATAAATACAAATATTAATCTGAAATTTTTTTAAATATATTGCATTTCAAACCGATGATAACAGTAATTTTTGGTTTATTTAATTATATTATGGATTTTAACCCACTTATCATACAAACCAGTATTAAAAGTGGAGCAGAATTAAGCAGTAATTTTTAATCATTTTAAACAGTATACTTATGAAATACAATCAGCATTATTTATACTGCCAACTGTAAGAGTAATTATTCTTTCATATAAGGAAGCAGAAGGAAAAAAGTACGTCAATGTATTAAAGGTCTGATAAACGGTTTACTATTAATCGCGACATTGTAATAATCATACAGAACCATAGTTAGTATGAGGATGAATCAAATATAAACAGTAATTTAGGTGTTTTAATCAGCATGCAGTTAGAGTTAGATGATGAAGGTGGAGGTTTGCAAGCAGGTATACCAAACAGGAAGTTCATGAGTTGCACAATAAATAAACATCTTTTTAATTAATGAAGCTGTGAAAACCTCTAAACTTTTTTTGTATTTGAAGGTACAGTTAGGGGACATTACACTGTCTTATAATCAAATGTAAACAAGAAAGAAAATTTAAGGATAAATGAGACCAGATCGAAAATGAAAGTGTTCAAGGACAAGTGTTGCAGAGGGTGCTTTACTCATTAAAATTACTCTCTTTAGTAATTACTTACTTACTTAAATTACTTAGAAAAATAGCTAAAAATCAACATAGGCATGAATCCTAGAAAAAAGTGGTAGTAAGAGTTGGAAAGAGACCAAAGAGGATGAAATATGGATTAGAGTTGATTATAAAACTCTTAAGCAAGTAGAAAGAGTTAGAATAAAGAACATTGCAGATCCTCAATGTTTTTTATTGCAACACTTAGCTGAGCTCCATAATCGTTCAATGTGTGAAGTATGGATGAAGGATCGAAAAAGTTATACCGGCGATTCCTCTAGAAATGGTTGCAGCTTTCTTTATTCAGTTGTTGGGTGTAGTATCCTTTCCAACAGTCAGAATATATAGTGGTTCCACCTTCTATATTATTTTTAATACATTCTAATAGATTTGTTGCTTTTTTGTCTTTTATTTTGACCATAAAACACTTGTCTGTTTCCCCTTTTTATGACTTTTTTCACACAATTTTACCTTTGAAATTATCCCAAATTTCTGAAAGTATTTGACAACTTCTTCTTCTGAAGAATGAAATTCCCAAAGTGTTATTATATCAATTTAAAACAGAAAATAATAAAACTGAAAACAATTGAATAACGCAAAAGTAACAGAAAGATAAAAAGAGATTACACGGGATAAGAAGGGAGGTTGTATGGCGACCACCCAAATCACAAGTACCGGATATTTGAAGAAAGTAAAGGTGATTCTTTTTCTATCCTGATATTCTCTTCTGAATCACATTGTATATATCTTACAGAATATTAGATTTTAGGATTTATCAAACATCAAAGGTAAATTCTGAACCATAAAAAGATTTGCTCATTTAATAAATTAACAAAAATTTCTAAAGTTGAAAAATATTAATGGTTGAAAAGTAGAAGAAGAAGAGGATTAGCACCACAAAGATTGCTAAAAGATGGGGCTATGCTAAATACAGAATTAAGGACTTGAGTCCAGTAAATAAATCAAAATAAAATTATCATAAATGACAAAGACCTAGTCTAATTAAATATAACAGTACTGATCATCTGACCAGAAATATTATATGTATTTTATTTCTTATTCACTGTGTGTAATAATATAATTGATGAAAGTTACATAAAGATGACAGTTAAAAATTAACTAATTAAAATAAAAATAAAACTACAATAGTCATCATTCATTTCATGATAGGCGGATCTATGTTCTCATGTACTCAGCTATAGAGAAAATTAATTATAAGTAAGATCATATTTCAGCCATGTTAATTTATATTAAGTTATACACTCATTTCTAGAAAATAAATATTAGAATAAACACATTTTTTTTGTTATTTACTTTTGTTACTTACAATTACTTTTTGTTACTTGTAAATAAATTAAGGGGACACTGCCTCTTATTAATGAAAAATAATGTTTGCTTATCCACTTCTCTTAAGAAATAAATTCAAGTTTTTTAAAATAATAATTCCCAAAAAATGTAATATACCAATTTGCCGATTATTAATATACCAAAGAATGTTTACTTATTCATTTCTTCCTTGTCAATAAACATCGAAATGAACAATAGGTTTCTTTATTATTTGGTTCCCTATAAACAAAGGCTGCTTTGGCAAACAAATAATGATAAAAACATTAACACTCATTCATCTATCAAATAATTCAAGCACATTTTTCACAAAGTGCAATTGTAATGTTTTTTTTTCAACTACCATATAATTATAGGAGTCAAATATCAATGGGTTTAGAATACTTAATATATAAGTCTAATAAATAAAGATATATTTCCTTAATTTATTATAAACCTTAAATAATACAGATTATGATAACTAGAATTAAAAGAAACAAAATAAAGGTAAGCTCTAAAATATAGAATGAGTAAAGGATAGTTTAAAGAGTTAAACCGCTCACTATCAATATAGAATCCTTTAAAATATTAATATTATTTATTATATAAACAGTTGCACAAACAGTAAGGATAAATTAAATATTTCTTCAATTGAGAACGCATAAATTATACTATACACAAATAAACAGAACAATAAACCTATTCTTTTGGAATCATGCAGATATAAGTTTAATTGTTATCATAGGCTTCCAACATACATTGTACCACTACTTACTTTAGACCATTCCTTGAGGCAGTTATAACAGAATTGATGTAGACACGAATTTGTAAAGGATTTATTTGTGAATTCTTCTAAACATATTGCACAATTTGATTCAGGTGAATGAGGTCTGTCAATAGGTTCTGACTTTAAGTTGGCAGGATTAATCAAAACTGAAGTCTCACCAATTGTTTCTGACATTATTATCTGAAGAAAAGATAAATTAAAATAGTAAATCAAGAAACTATCATATCTATATCTTATACAAAATACTCATTCTAACTCAAGACTGATTTAAAATGTAATTAATTACATTTATAAATAAATTATTGCAATCACACCTGTATATAACTATTTACTTAGTTCTAAAAGTGATAAAAACGATACATAATTATTATAACTAACTTATCACTCAATTTAAGAAAATAGAACTCACTTAAATTATAACCTCGACTTTATGGCATAAAAGGGGTCTTAACTTTCTAAACTATGAAAGATAATAGAAAAAAAGTAAATTGGGATAAAATTCATAATCCTAAAAAGTGGTCCAAAATTAAATCACAAATTAAGAAGGGCTAAGAAACAGGGAGGACCAAGGACGAAAACAAATAAAACTGATATTCCAAGAAGAGAACCCACTTAACATATAACCTACGGTCAACTAGCTAACCTTACTACACTGCCAACTTGGTTTGAAGTTATACCGATACCAAGAATACAAAAATAATAATAAAAGTATAAGGAAAAATACACAATTTCAGTTTTTATTAAATTTTTACAACATTACTAACAGATTGGTTTTATTTTTAAAACGATATATGTATTTTAAAATTTTCAGTTCATTATGGAGTTGATATTTAATTTCTATTCTATCTCTTCTTTTGTATCACGAAAAAATCTTCTCAAGGTATTATTGAATAATTACTTAATTTAATTTATATTTTGCATTACAATTATGACACCAGTGTAAAGTTTCCTTTCTGTTTTGATAAAAAAATTCAAACATTATGAAGTCACTATTAAAACAAATCCACAGGAATTGACTCATAATTAATCATTTTGTATATGAAAAGTGATATATTACATTATACATGATTATATGAAATGATTTGTAGATATATAATCATGTTATCTACAAATATATGTCATATTTCTTAAAAGTATATTTTTCGAAATCATCCTGACATATTTCTAAAACTGATTAATAATTTCTATAGCACTTACGATTAAATTAAAAATATAAATAAATTCTGTGGAAATTGCTTAGGATAAAAGCATTAACGAACTCTATCCTGTAAACCAGTAATTTTTGGACAGTTAACTAGATCAAAAATGATTTTCTCCTTTATTGCTAATAATTTAAAATTTATAAAACTTATCATTTTTATTTATTCTATTTTTTTTGTCGGTTTAAATTAGTATAATAATAATCATATTGTTTAGGAAACTTTCCATATTTGATTTAAAAAGGCAAATAACTCTAATGAGTAATACTTAGCCAATATTCGACATTATTTTAGCAGTGGACTATATTTTTATTGAAGGTGGGATTATATGAATTGCGTAAAATAACACTCACTCTTTTATCCTATCATAGATATCTTACTTAACTGAGAGGGCTCACCAGTCTGGTCTAGATGTTCTCTATGCAAAGTTTTGGCCTGGAATGGGGCTAAGAGAGTCTGGTGGCTCGGCCGAATCAAATCTTATCTTTTGATATAATCAGATATGTTATCACAACTCTCCTCAACGGCGCTCGGGTACAATACCGTTCATACATCTCCTAGCGGGATGATGAGATAATGGAGAAGTGGAGAGAGTATTTTAAAGAGCTGCTGGAAGGAACAGATTGGGCCATCCAGGTTGTTGAGGAAGATTCCTCAGAAAAGGACGATTACATTGATGAAGAAGAATTCGAAGAATGAAGAAACCAAGATGAAACTCGGAAAGTCGGCGTGACTGGACGGAATCATTCCGGAAATGATGAGGTTTATGGGAAGTAAAGACCAGGAAATGTTATCCATCTTTTGAACCTGGTCAAGAAAAAGAAGAAGATACAGAAGGACTGAGAAGTCGCAGTCATAGTGCCAATATATAAGAAGGGAGACAACAGGGACTGCAACAATCATCGAGGTATTTCGCTCCTTAGTATTCCCAGTAAAATATACTCAAAAATCCTAGAGGCAAGGGTCAGAAACATCATAGAATCCAAGATGGGAGAGGAGCAGTATGGATCCAGGAGTCAAAGAAGCACACATGCTCTAGTTTTTACTGTGCGACGAATCACAGGGGGGAAAAGAAATCTCCGTGTGCTTTGTAGATCTCTGCAAAGCCTTTGACCGGGTTAGAAAGAAAAGGATATAATTGAGGCTCTAGTTGAAAAAGGTGTAAATAATGGAATTATAAGGGCCGTAAGAAGTTTATACGGAAATACGAGGAATCTTGTTAGAGCGAGAAACCATACCTCTCGAGAGTTCAAAACAACACTGGGCATACGACATTCGTACTGGTTCTCGATCTCCGTGAAAGCAAGAGAGAAGATGCGAAGTTTTCAGTTGGGACACAGAGATATCCAGCTTACTCTATACTCTCTGCTGGCGTAGGCCGATGACTTCATATTGACCCAGAATGACCACGACCTCCAGGACAACATTACATCCTAAAGGAAGATTTAAGAAAAATCAATATGGAAATTAACCCTGAGAAGACGAAATGCATGCGCATTGGAAGAAAACCTCACAAGGTTATGCGTGTCGACGGTATGATTTTGGAGCAGGTGGTTTCAGTTTTTACTAATTTAGTACTGAAAATCCAAGTTTCAAATACTTGGGTGCTCAACTCAACGAAAATGGATATAGTGACGAGAAGGTAAGACAGAGAATAGGAGCTGCTGGAAGAATATTCGGCTCGGTTAGAAAAGGCTTCCTTGACCGAAAATAGGTGACCAAGGAAACGAAGATGACGGTCTACAGATGAGTATTCCTTCCTATTCTTCCGTGTCCTGGACACTTACTTCGAATCACAGGAGCCAGATCCAGGCTCTAGAGATGTGATACCTGCGAAAGGTGGAGGCAAACACTAGACGAGACAGAATTCGCAATACTAGCTAACCTCGACGCCAAAGCGGTCGAAACCATAATAGAAGAACATAAGTTAAGATGGTTTGAGCACCTCCATATGGATCGGAACAGAGTCGCAAGGAAGACATATGAGACTCGCGTGCAGGATAGGAGAGCGAAAGGAAGAACCAGAATCTTCTGGGAAGAAGGCGTGCGAGATCCATTCCAACAGCGAGGTTTGGAATGGAACAGGATACGAGAACTGGTACTGGAAAGGTCCACCTAGTCCAATCTCTACAAGAAGCAACCTCACACTGCATAGGCGGTAAAGAGGAACATGATTACGATGATGATTAAAATAAAAAACAGAGAGGACTTATGAATTTTGAAGGGCTTCAAGAATTCGTGTTGGTTTCATTAAAATCGTTGAATCCGTTTCGGGACTACAATCTATGGCAGGGATCTCTAAACTACGGCACGCCAGCATCTCCTGCCCGCAAAAGCTTTTTTGATTACATAGTCAAATTTTAAAAACTAATAAATTTACTAAAATATGAGGTTACAACATTCTTTGCGTTACTTGTTTCTCTTAGAAACCTCATATCACAATCGAAGTGGCATTTATAGAGCAAACTTTTTTTTTTTTTACCACTATCGTTGGCCCGTGGAACTTATTGGAGGTCTCAATTCGGCCCGTGGGACTTGGTGGAGGTCCCAATATATCCTTCGGGTCAAAAAGTTGGGAGACTTCTGATCTATAGCATAGGAAAGGAATATTTTTATCGTTAGGAGCCACATTAAGATGAGGAAGTAATAATGTATACCGTAGTAATGTTTTATATTTTACTATTGCTGTATTTAATAATAATAATAATAATAAGGCTTAGCGAACCCGAAGGTTCGATGCCGACACCACCAATCGCTTGTTACACACCTCCCTCCACCGTTCGCCGTCCAAACACAGTCCCTTCAGATCGGCTTTAATGCAATCTTCCCACCTTCGCTTCGGTCTACCCCTCGGACGCTTACCATTCGGCACAGCAAATATTAACCTTTTAGGAATTCTCTCGTTACTAAGCCCAACAACTTTACAAACCCATTTGATTCGCCGCGATGAAATTACATCAATTATATTACCCGGATACAGCTCAAGCAATTCGGCGTTGTGTAGCCGTCTGAACTCTCCGGTTAACTCATCCTTCTTCGGTCCGAATATTCTACGCAATACTTTATTTTCTGTATTTAATAAGTAAATAAATATCCAATATGCTGTATTTAATAAGTAAATAAATATCCAAATAAATATATGTAACTCATTTCTATTAATTTTCATATTTTCCTCACCTAATAACTAAATATTAATTAATTTAATTTTAGCGCTAGATTAATGAAGACTGTGAAAAATTGTTTTGAGACCATAGCTAGAGCTCATCTAGGCCGCAGATTTCCCACTGGGGTGGTCTATAAAAACACACTTTTTCGGTCCCCATTTTGAAATGAAATGGCGAGTATGGTCATGTTGAGTTCCCGTATTATATTGTTGGGACTTCTTTAATACCAAATCTCAAAAGTCAGTCCAGTAGTGTGCCGACCGGCAGTCCGACGGATTTTTTTAAAAATTTTATTTTGTTTCTGGGTATCTAGAAATGTAAAACTGCAAATTTTGAGCTAGTTAAGTTTTTTTTTTGTTTTTGATGAATTACAAAGGTTCTTTATTAAAAATTATAAAATAATTTCGTTATAAATGATACAATAACCACTTAAATTAATGTATAACAATGCAAGAAATACGATCTTCATAAACTAAACATTTTGAGATATTCAAAATAGAATTTTTAAAACATAAAAGAAGCTAAATAAATTGTAAATATTTACGAATTTCTAGGCAAAATTTGAAATAATGCCAAAAACGTCATATGCCTAAGATGTTTACTTCAGAGGACGTTTTCCTCTTTTATTTTGAGCTTAAGAACGAAATTCAATTTTGCTATTTCATTTCCTTTTTTCTATTTCCAAAAATATTTTTCTAGTAATATTTAGTTTTTCAAAAATTAATCCCAATAAACATAATGCAAATTTCAAAATATTGATAGAAATATTTTTTTCAAACAAAGAATATTGCAAAGTGACTAGGAGGAACTTGGTCGACCCTGCAGTTGTTTACCTCTGGTCAGGTGAGTACAGCTGATGTTGCGCAGTTGTGTGCGTATGTTTATGTAGTTTAAAACTAAGTTTTAAAGGCAAGGTTGATTTTGTCATTTCTTATTAAGAGCTCGAAGATTTAACAATGTTTCGTTATTTGAAAAGTATGTTTACCGGTGACAAAAAGATTGAAGTAAAAATTCCATCTCCTGAGGAAGAATTGACACTTCGTCTTAAACCTTATGAGAAACATTTGTACAAAATGCAAGATGTCATTGCATGGAAGGACATTCACCTATCCTCATATTCTATAATTATCGTCAACATAATATTTTGGTAAGTATTTTATTATTTACTTAATTTTAATGAAACCCTTTGTTGCAACACTTCAGTAAATACACCAAGTCTTCTTTGTTCTATCTAGATCCACGTTTTTGAATTACCTTAAAATCATTGTTGCTTATTAATGCAGTAAAGTATATATACTTTAGACTCAACATTACTTAATAATTCAGTTAACTTGCAGGTCTTTAAATATTCTGAATAATTCTGAACTTTTTTAAAAATCTTTGATTCAATGTATAGCTACATGAAGCTGTATTATTATAATTTTTTTTTCTTTGATTTATTTTTGGAAGGTTTACTTTTTAATTAATTAATATTGTTTATTTTCATTTTTAACCTATTTATTTTCTATAGTTAGTAAATTTTAAAAAGTGTTAGTACAATTCTATTTTAAGTCAGGCCGATAATTTTTTTTCTGTATTAATGGAAATAGAATTGTTAATGTAATAAAGAAGATTTGTTTCTATATTGGGAGTTGATTGCTATTAATTTGTGAATTACATGGTTCGTATAGTTACGATTATCATAAAAAATAATTAAAATTATAATAATTGTTCATAATTCTATTGATTTCCTATGTAAAGTATTTGAATTTCTAAGTTGACAAACCAGTTACTTGATTACTGTGAATTTGATATTTAGATCTTATGAAGTTTTTGTTATAATCTGTAAATTGTTATTGTTTGAAACATATTATAATTCAATTAGGTAGTTCTGCATGATTCTTGGTATCCTCTGTTTAAATGTCAACACTTAAGGATCGTTATTCTTAGAAATCTTTTGACTGCTTTGAACTTATCCTGTATTGTTATTTTAAATGTATTTCATTTTAAAATATTATTACTGTTATTTTCCAGACATTTATTTTAAGTTTCCAATTCTTTTCTTTACTGCTAAGTATGTCTGCTTGGTTTGTTTCCAATTGATTTTGGTCAACTATTTGTTTATCTGTTGGGCCAAGAAGTATGCTTTCTAGAATAAAATAGCATATATCAGACATTTTAACATTCTATTATTTGATTTCAGACTTCTGCACCATCATAACCTATTTGTTTCCCATAGTTTTAGATTTCATTTAATATGATTTTCGATTACTGTTAATTATTCCATTTTATGGTCAATTTGTGTTTATTAATGAAAAGTTTTAATTGTGTTCTTTTTCTTTTCAGGATTTTAAATTATATCGAATGGCGATTCTTAGGTTTTGTTTTTACTATCATTTGTGTTACCTTAATTCATGATGCATGGGTCCATCATATCTGGCCAGAAATACGTGTTAAAGATCCTGCTCCTCCTGCTGTAACAGAAGAACCTGTCGAAATAAGGCCTGAAGGGTAATTTATTATAACTTGATATTTATTGCAATTTTTAACGGTGCATAATATTTGGAAGAATAACTAATAATGTGCTTATTTAAAACAAATTAAATTATGCTAATTATTTAAGATTTTTTCAAATGATCTAAAAAAAAAGTTCTTATTTTTTTATTATTTGATATAACAATTTACAATTTTTATTTTTATTTTTTTTATTTTTTTTGTGACAAACATGTGCATGTTCTAAAATGTTGTTATTAATTATTCTTAGTACATCTTAATTTATATTTTTTTCCTATTGTTAATATCTGCTTATCTAATAAATAAGGCCCATCTTTAACTATTTGTGTTTTAGAAGTTTACAGAAAACTGTTCTTATTCAGTAATAATTATTCGAAGAGTCTTTAATGACTGAGAGTCTTTTTGAAAGAGGGCCACAGAGCAGGTTTTGAAATCTATAATTATATTTTTTACATAATCATTTAATAATTATTATTTTTTATATTTAATTTAAATTGTGCCCTGATTTATAAATAAAAATTTCAATCGATCTTTAATGTTTATTTATTAGATTTAAAATAATGATCATTCAATGAGTGATACAATTTTACATAAATAATGATGATTAAATTGTGATAAAAAAATTGTTTATTAGAAAATAAAAATCAAATTTTACACAAAAATTTAAATTAAATATTAATATTTATGTATACATTTTTTAATATTATATTTCTGAAATCGCTTTAATAGTGCATGTGGTACCTGCAGAATATATATGTATATATATATACATATATATATATATATGTATTATTTTATTTTTTTTTTAGCCAGAATTTCTAATAAATTTCGGAAATAAAGTTGCTCCGTTGCTAATAGTTGACATTATTCTCCACTTTCTACTCCAACCTCTAAATATCTCATGAAGATTACAAAAAAAATTTATTTCTGATTTTAAAAAGTATTACTCAAGAATTATTATTATTGTTAAACGTAAAAATTTTGTTCAAAAATAATGATCAGGATATGATTTTTATCACTTATGATCAAAAATAAAAATCGATCTTATTAAAAATCATCAACTGATTTTTAAAAATTCCATATAAAAATTTATTATTATTTATTTGTAAAAAAATAAAAAAGATCAGATTTGATTTTGATTTTTTTAATTATCGGTTTGAAACTCTGCTCAAAGAAAGTTTGTAGAAGGCTCTGTTCCTAGACAGGTCTGCTAATATTTATTTGCTGATTAACTCATTAAATTTAGGCATGCCCAATGAATTAGGTTATATATCAAAACAAGCATCTGTTTACTATGATTATATATTAATTTATAATTTTTGATTTTAGAGTATTGTCTTTGCCAGAACTAAGTCGCTATACGAGAGAAATACAAGTTTTTATAACAAAGCAGTATCAAAGGATTAAATATTTAAGAACTACACAGCCTGCCTTTGTAAGGATTTTATTTATTTTAATAAATATATATTACATCCGTTTTTTAATGTTCATTTCTGTTATTTAGTCCATTTCTGTTACTTATATTGCTGTCCAAGAATAATGGTTTTATTTTGTATTTAATTAATGGCTAATACTTTTTACATTCTTCATGTATTTCTGTTCAAGTATTTCATTGTACAAAAACTCATAGCACATTATTTATTTTGTTTTTTATTATTATAATAATTGTCTCTTAATATTAATTTTTAACAATATTTTGTGTTTATATGTTTTTAACTTTTTCAAAAGTTCTTGAAAGAACAAAATTTAAAATATTTACTATATTATTGAATAAAATATACTCTTGATCATTTTTATTTTGAGCTTTCAGTCTATTAGGTGTTTTGCTCGTTTACTTATTAAATTTTTATTGCCTTCCTAGTATGTTATTGTAAACTCAGTATATATAAAATCATTGTAGTAAAGCTATATTAAAAAAATAAGTAGTATTTCAAATTGTTTTAAGCCTTAGAAGAAATTAATACTATTAGTTGTACATCTTCTTTTCCAAAATATGATTGTTCAATGAATAGTTATTTTGATAATATTCACTTGACTAAACATTTGTTCATTTTTTTTTTAATCCGATGAGCTAGCTAAAAAATGATTTTCAATTTTTTGTTATAATGTTTTAATTGGCTAGCTAGTTTAAAACTGATCTCTTAAGTTTTCAAGTTATATTTTAAATTGGCATTTATCTAAATAAAAAAGGGACTTTCCAATTTACTTCAAAGTTAAAACAACAGATTTTATCTGCTGTTACCAAATTAATTTTTCTCTCTCATAAATAAGGTATATTTATTATATTATCATTACAACAATTTTTAATTATATATATATATTAAAAATATATATATATTTACATTTTTTTAAACTAATATTTTTATTTTTCAGTTTTGCATGTGTTCAACTGCTGTTTGGTTATTTATTGCTGGGATTGGTACATTTCTTTCTGGAATGGCTCTTGCTTATACATTTGTAATGATGTTATTAACACTACCTGGTGTTTATATCCATCTTGTATCAGACGAACAAAAACAAACATTAAAGCAGATTCTGAATTCAGCTTATTTCGTTCTTATACCTCCAGGTATTCAGTTAGACTACTTTAAATAATTGATATTTGTTTAATTGGAGCACCATGTTGTTGTACTATACAACTTTGATTAGTGGAACATGATTACACTATACATGCGATTTTGAGGATGCCGGAGTGCTAATCTATTCATAATATTACCTCCCTTTTTAGATTGCCATTGTAGACTTACGTAAACTCCTACTGCTTCTTGTCAGCTAAAATTGGGAGCTCAATTACTTTTAATCACATCGCTGCTTTCAACTTCTGCTTGCTATACTCATTGAAAAGAGATGGACTAACGCCTCCATCCACTTACGGTCAGACTTCGCCATTCTCGGAATTTTATGTATTGTGTTCAATGTGTTGCATATGGTTTCGGTTTTTGTTTCGTACTTGTTTGGTCTATGGTCTCAAAGTCAATCATATTTATCGTAGACTGTTCTAAACTAACCCATAATTTAACCATATTGGCCGCTTTGTTTCAGTACTGTACTTACAATATGAAGAAATTGGACTGATAGCTATAGCAATGTGGTGGTAAATATTTTTTTATGGTGAAACAAAGTTAATATTCATTTTTCACTCCTTAAAGCATTCTTAAATACAAATTTTATATAAAAAAATAATTTTTTTTTGCTTTAAATTTTTATATTGGTTTGAAGTAAACAGCAGAAAACATTCTTGGATTTTTTTTTTTTTTTTTAAATTGGTATTTAACAGTTTTAAAGGATGTTAAAAATAAACATAACTTCCATTTTTATGTCAAAAATTTACTACTACTTTACTGGAAGCATCTTTTGGTTTTTGCAATTTCTGATAATTTTAAACTTGTTTTAATTGAGAAAAATATTTTTTCTTATTTTACATTGTATTATAACCCACAAAATTTATGCAAAATAAAGGCTAAAAATTATAGTATAATTTTTTTATTTAAATATTGTTAAATAATTTTTATGAGCTCTTAAGCTCCATTGAAATGAACGCCAGGACAAGTGCCTAATATTTTTACTTTCACTTACCTATATATGGAATATATAGTAAGGAAAAGTATTGCAATCATGAAAATTTTTGAATCTGAGTTTTCAACGGAAATACATGTTTTGAGATCCTCTGAGTCGAAATAACCAAAGTCCCGTAAAAGGATCTGTGTGTGTGTTAACAGTCTAGCTCAAAAACGAAAAGTCATACGAAAGTGGAATTGCGTATTGAAGGTTTTTATGTGCTAGAGATGTTACAACAACTTTTTTGTCAAAATCGGCTAACCAGAAGTGGCACTTTATATAATGGACTAAATACATGTTTTACGATTTTCTCGAAAATGGCTCTAACGATTTGGATTAAATTCATTATATCTGTGTAAAATTAAGTAGTTTTAGATAAAATGTAGGTTTTATTCTGATTGATGTTCTCTAACATTTCTTAAATGGCTAATTTTCAATATTTGCATTCCCAAAAGTACCTTTAATTTTTTTTATTTGAAAGAATTGACCATTTTACATTAATCTATAATATAAAAGATAAAAAAATATGAAAGAATTTGATAATTAACTAAAGGAGAAATAAGATTAGAACATACGTAACTTGAGCTTAATATAATATGGACTGCGACAATAGTATGTAAATATACATATGCGATTTTCATAAATGCTATTGTTGGTATTATTTAATATTTAATTTTATACAGTACAGCTATATAAATATTAAAATTTGTATATATAAGGGTACTTATGCAAATAAAAATACCCATAATGAAATATAAATCAATATAGCATTTATAATTTTTACTTTCACTTCCTCTATGTCGGAAAATACTTATTTCTGTTAAGAAGAGGGTGGTAAGTGAAAGTTGTGTGATGCACGCACCACTCCAGATTTTGTTATGTTGAATCGCCTACAAAATTTAGTAGAAATTATTGACCTACTGACTGTAACCTCCTCTTGTGAGTCCATAATGTTGATCAACAAATTGGCGAAAGTATCTATATAGTTTTCATTGAAGTTTTCTTGATCAAACGATAATCGTTCAATTAATGCATCTCTTAAGGGATTAATTTATTTTTTACCAAATAGTTTGCTGGTAATAATTACTTATCTATCAGTAGTTAGCTCATGATTATTTGTTTTATGTAGTTAAATATTATTTAATCAATAATTCATTATTAATTAATAGTTTAAAAGGTTGATTAAACAAATTATTTATAATAATTTTTATATTTTGATTTGTCGTAAACCTATGACTTCCTGTCCTACAGTATCCTTTAACAATACCCCACTTATCCCTGTTGACCAAATCCGATACTTAGGACTCCACCTTGACAAATGACTCACTTGGAACCCCCATACCAGACTGAAACGACAAGAAACCGCCCGACGTTTCCGACTACTCCAGCACTTCTTAGACAAACGCTCTAAACTGCCAACTATTTACAAAAGACTCATATATTACTGTACTAAGGCCTATTTGGACTTACGGGATCGAGCTTTGGGGCTCTACTAAACCATCAAATTCCTCTCGTATCCAATCCCTACAATCCAAAATCCTTAATACTCCCTACTTTGTCACAAATAAAATCATCCATAATGACCTTAATGTACCATATGTTTCCGATTTAGCTCATCCAGATACCTGTCCTTTCATAATAAACATCCGAACCCTCTCGTTTCCAACCTTGCTTCCTCTCCATTCCTGATAACCCTCCAAGGCGTCTGAAAAGAAGATGGCCTCGGGACCTTCTAATATAAAAATATAATTGGAGTGCTACCAATGAGTAGTTTCTCTTCATGTTGTATTGTTCATATTTACTTGTTGTATTTATTATTAAGTACAGTTGTAAATTGATTTAATAAAAAAGTGTTTTAGAAAAAAATTAAATAAATTATCCTATAATACAAATATTGGTAAAGTATTAAAATTACTGTAATAAGTTAATCTTTGATGTTAAATATTTATTTGTAGTATTTATTATTTTATTTTTTGCTTTGTTTATTGTTGTATTAATTTAAACTTTTTTAATTCCATCTTTATAGAGAGCAGTAAGAATGTTGATGAGTACATGCCTGATACTAGTCAAGAAAACTTGGATATATTAGCAAAAGCGGGAGCTAATAGTCATGGTAAGTTTTTAAACTATTCAATATTTCATGGCTGCCACTTTTTCCCTCTAATAATGAAATTATCTCATCATTCCATAAAATTTTAAAACAAATGAGCTTTTGAATGGTTATAATTATAAGTTCATAAATCTTTAGGTGAAATTTAGAACAATCAGAATATGTTATAAAATCAGATTATCTAATGTAAAATTATTTTGTATTAAAACAACTCTGTTTTATTGTTGAAGAGAAATTGGTAGGGGATTGCAGTCATTGGAATTACCAAGTAAAAATAAATTATATCTATTTAATTTGTTCTGATGTTTCGGCATAAGTAGCAGGCCTTCTTCAGGGCTAAGTGAAGAAAGACAAGATAACAATTAAATACAAAATATATTCTTATTTTGTTTTTTCGATGACTGAAATCCCCATCCAACTTATCTTCAACCATATTTTCAAAGAGTAAAAAATTATCCACCTTCTATGAAAAGAACCTAAAACAATATTTAACTCTTTTTTTTTTTTTTTTTTTTTAATAATTTATTTTATTCCCATCAACAAACCATAATATCATGTTTTGGCCCCTTTTTCAAATCTACATGTCTCTTGTCATGAACTATTGGAAAAATCAAATAAATGAAACTTTAGTTTTGTCATGTATCATTGTTATTAACCTTCTAACGATGGTGGATTCATATATGAGTTGAGAGGGAATCTGACACAGCCAACGATGGATTCATATATGAGTCAAGACCCTGGCGGACTCTTTCTCTTTAAATGATGGAGTGCTCAGTGAGAAATTCTATTTTCAGGCTATCTCGTGACCTTTCTATGGTTATAGCAAATTTAAAACAGGTCCAAAAAAAAAAAAATTTAATGGTGCATCAAACATAGACTTTTTTTTTGTTGTAATTATTTTATTACCTACCATTGGTACATGTATATTATCAATTTCATAATTAGATTAAATAAACAATTTTAACCAGATTTTTTTAGATAAGAATAAATTTATAGTACAATGTTTTATGGATATCACTTATATTTCATTATTTTTTTTTTAATGGAAATTAAATTAAAATAATTTCATTAATCTGGGACTAGTGTCCCTTTACAAGACATTACAAATGCAGAATATAAATAAATATGTTAGTGTGTTCATACCTTAAATTAAATATTAACAAAATGATTGGTAATGTAAAGTAAAAATACAGATAATTGAAATATATATATAAAAAAAGCATACATAAAGATAAAATAAAATAAATAAGCAAGCTAGTGTCTGGGTACTTAGAGAGTCTTAGTCTTAGAATCTTACGTGCATTTCATGATTAATCGGATCGGGAATGGAATAGGTGCTTAAAGAGGAGAGATTTGAATGAGCAAACTGACTTTGTGTGTTGAATATCGGGAGAAATTGAATTCCTGGGGAAGAAGGCTTGAATTACAAAGGATTTGTCAAAAGCAGCAGTTCGTTGAGGAGGAGGATGCAGGTTGGATGTACAGGATCTGGTGGAATTGAATGGAGGATTTAAATTGTAGACTCTGTATATAGAATAGAGAACATGACAGAAACATAAAGCTTTTTAATTTTTGACTGATTCAATTGTATTAAAAAAATAAGGTTTAAAAGTTCATATTTTATGAAATGAAATTGTATAGGTCATTTCAAAATATATTTCAATTGTATAAAAGTTAGATAAATAAAATAAAAAAGTTTAGAAAGAATGCCCAAAACAAAAAAGCTGAAGTGGTGAGTAGAGATAACTAAGGCATAGAGAACTGTCATGCTGCTCCAGCTTTCTGCTCATCATCGCTAGAAGATTAACAATCGCATAAGAATACAATGGTCCTATTTTTATTTTTTTTTCTACTTGAATATTTTTTTTCTTTAATCTTCAAAATACCAATGATATGTACTATAATATTACACAATTCCTATAGTATATCGTGTACCAACCAACTGACGTTTTTCCATTTCTTTATGTTATCTACCTTGATGTAACTCATCATCTTTATTCCACCTGTAGATATTGTATGAAATATATAAAATTGTCATGAATAATAGTTGGTTATGATGTAGAGATGGTTGACTGTTGATATAATATGAGAAGGAGTTAGTCGAGGGTGCGGTCAAATAAATAAAAAAAATTAAAATATATAAATTATTTTAATCTTTGCCGACGTTTCGACCCACTTTGCAGGTCGTCTTCAGGGCTACAAAAGATACAAAACATGTTGAAAATAAAAAATAAATATAAGTATATATAAAATACGAGGAAGTTGTCAGATACAGAAATAAAAGATGGTGTCAGAGATATAGTGGGTGACAATGTAGTTAAATATTAAGAATTATATATGTAGAAGATACAAATAAATGGAAAATAAGTAGGAATAAAAATGAAAATAAAGGAGAATATTATTTTTATTTTTATTCCTACTTATTTTCCATTTATTTGTATCTTCTACATATATAATTCTTAATATTTAACTACATTGTCACCCACTATATCTCTGATACCATCTTTTATTTCTGTATCTGACAACTTCCTCGTATTTTATATATACTTATATTTATTTTTTATTTTCAACATGTTTTGTATCTTTTGTTGCCCTGAAGACGACCTGCAAAGTGGGTCGAAAAGTCGGCAAAGATTAAAATAATTTATATATTTTAATTTTTTTTTATTTATTTGACCGCACCCTCGACTAACTCCTTCTCATAATAGTTGGTTATGTTCTATTATATTTATATCAATGACCTGGAAAACTTAGTTAAGCAAAGGAATTTCATAAAAATGTTCCAGTAGACAGTTAGCAATTTAAATATGTATATATATTTTTCTATTCCCTTTAAATTATTAATTCTTGTAATTTTTTAAATCAATGTTCAAATCAAGTTAGTCATTTTTTATTCAAAAATAAATTTAAAAATAGCAAAAAGAAAACTATGGGATTTGAATTATATCTAATCCTGTTCTGGCATAACATTAAATTACTAGTTATAGTTTAGTACTTGAGGAATTTGTGGTTTTGTCCTGGAATCTTCCAATGATGATCCTATAATACAAAATATTATTTTTAGATTTTAAAAGATTATATTTTTACTATTCAAAAGCTCATATTCACACTGATTTGTTAAAACAAAAAAAGTTGAGGTAATTATTATCTAAATGGTCTCAATAAATTTTCAAAAATTTTATTAGGATGTTGAATAAAATATAAATATCACTGCTTTTGACCTAATTCCAACAAAAGACTAAAATATACCGCTTTTGATCTAACTCTATGTGTGAAGACCTTAGGTCTCCCGCATTTGAGGGGCTACCTTGAAGAGTGTCTTAAGTGTAAAATGTTTCTTAGGAAAATTAAAGGTTAAGTCAGAAATGAAAAGAACATACAAAAATTATGTTTATGTGCCAAACATCTAAACAAATATGTAATAATGAAATAAACTACCAATGATAGGATTGATGTGAAGAAAAATGTAACTCGATTAATTTAACAAACATTATAATTCACAATGGTAACTACCTGATAATGTTGGTTCCGACTTAATGTATGAAAGCTTGAATATTGGATTATGAGCTCAGTGCAGTCATTTAGCCTTGATGCATAACTTGATGGACCACATATAACATGAACAATGATGGTACGTACCTCATGGAGGTGAATTCATGTCCACTGAGCGTGAACGGATCCTTATGTTCAAATGAATGAAGTAAATGATTGGGATTAAGCCTTGAAAATCTTGATCTTACAAAGTTATCCATAAATGTTCAAAAATATAACCTCATCGTCTCTTCACTGACTGCTTTTTATTTTATGCTTGTTGATAGTTGCCCACAGACTGAACTATTATTATATTTTCAATGTTAATTAAATTATTGGAAACAATATACAATCAAATACTTATATCGACAAAATAAAAATATATTATTTAAAAATGAACATATAATTAAATAACATGCACATGCACTAGAAGAAACTATTAATTTAAAGAAAAATATAATAAAATTTAACACCATGTGCATAATCTTTAGGAAAGAACATGTGTTGTTGGTGGCAAAATTATGAGTTTGAACACATTTTTATACCAACTGAAATAAAAGTTTTTGTTCAATATGGCAGTTTTTAAAAAAATTGGTTTGAGCCTGTTTTGAAACTAATTACCTTACCTTTTTTTTTTATTTATTGCACCTCATTTAATTTTTCATCAAGGAAGATTTAGTTTGACAAAGCTATATTTAGCACTCACAGTTACTTAAAAAAAAGTTTTTTTATTACATTTTAAGATGATTTCTGTGTGATATAATTTTTCAACATATTTATATCATCGGGTGAACACTCTTTGCCCTCTGTTTGAGTGGACTTGCCATATCTTTATTTTCACTGCAAACTTAATTTGTTTACTCGTGGACAATAGGGAAAAGAAAACTGAAAGATATTTCTTGACTGAAAGTTGTAAATCTGAAAATAATTTACCTGACTAAAAGTATAGGATTGAGCTAGGTAGATTTATGGTATGATCTATGATGTCACAGGTATTAAAGCACCTTGCTCCATCCCCTCCAATTAACACAGCTTCTCTTTGCAAATATGGATCGCTCAAATTTGGGACTTTCGCTGTTTTTATGTTTATTAAACCTAACTTCACCGATGAATACAAATTTTAAATTCATGCTAGTTTCTCATTGGACTTAAGCTAGTATTCATAGGTGCCTCTGATTTATTTCATATATCATAGCTATCATTAAATAGGCATATTAGAAAAAAAAAATATGTACTCAGAAATAAATTTAGCTATATTTTTGATTTTCTCACCATATTTTGTGCTGCGGAACATGAATTTGAAGTTTGCTGGAAAAAAATTCTGCCCAGAATTTTTATTTTTTGGGCACTTTTTGACCAAATTTTGCCATTTTTGTTTTTCAGTTTTCGGCCTATATCTCAAAAATAAAGCGTTTTTTTGACAAACCCATTCAACACTAAATTAAAGTAGATAAAACCGCCTACATTTCTTA